TATCAATGCTGTTTTACATAGAAAATTCAAAAGTGAAAAAAAAAATGAATGTTAACATGTTTGAAGCTCAAATCATATATAGGATGAGAATTTTTGGGTTCTTACACATTTAACATAAAGAAAGAAAGGAAAAACATATTTATTATTTCAATATTTCAATTTAATATAATTTCTTTTCAACGTCCCACGATGATTATTGAATTTCTTCTCATTATTATTGTATTTCCTTCCTTATTCCATTCGAGCTACTAGACATATAAATAGGAATATCTATTTTTATTACTATTCCATTTCATTTATGTATTTCGCTTAGTGTTTATGATTTCGAATATTTAGAACTTAAAGTCCAACTTCAATGGATGATTCTTGATTTAATATCTTGAATTTAGAATATTGATTTTCAATTGAATCTGACTTTAGTATGTAGAAGCAAAAAAAAAAAAAAAAGGACAAAAAAAAAAAAAAAAAAAAAAGGAACAAAAAAAAAAAAAAAAAGAAGAAAACAGGCATGGAGAATTCTAGGAGTGGTTTGGGCTAGAAGAAACAATGCATGGAGAATTCTAATTTTCTAACCGTGCGAATATCATTCCCGCCACAAAGGCACAAACAGAGCAGTTATTTAACGGTTACAATTTTAAAAACTTAGGAAACAGAATCAACCAAACCCTAGAATCTGCAATTCTTTCACTGCATTTGGGAAATTAATTAATTCTATGCAATGTCAACTATATTCCTTCTCTTTTTGCCGCTAATCACTGCTTCTACTTTCACATTTTTCCAGAATTCGCCCAGTTAGATTCTCTCTTTGTTTTCTTCCAGTGGTACATGAAATTTTATGCAATACTACTTTTTGATGCTTAACCTAATTTTCTCTTGATTTAGGCAAAGGACCTTCAACAAGAACCACTTGCAGGCTTTCGAAACCTCTTATTGGTGAAGATGGCAGGATTTATACTTGTTGTGAAAGAAATTTTACTTGTTTGTGAAAGAAATTTTTTTGCAATTTGAAAGTATGGGTCAAAGTTTCTTGGACATTGGCATTTGGGACTCCATGCAATGCAATGTTACTCTAGCTCCTGTTCATACGGCGGTAGAGGAAAGGTGAAGTAAGCCAGTTTGGTAATCCTCCTATCGTTCTTCTATCCAATATGGCAGCTGTGTAAGACTCATTCATGTTTTGGTAGTATATATGGTTGCAAGAAAAATGCAGAAAGAGTCCTGAACATAAGTTTCTAGAATTGATGCAACAACTTTCACCTACAGCAGAATATCTTTTTTGGTCCTGAAAAGGGGGCCCAAGAAGTGGAGGAAGAAATTATTGGGCTTGTAGTGAACATCCAGTGAGTTCATTTGTGTTGATGCAATATCAAAGACCAAGGGCTATTTGCATATCGATGAGTGGACAAGTTGCTATGGAGTGTAGACCGTGTGATCTCTCCAATTTGAATTATAGTAATTGGTTGCAGAAAAGGTATTCCAGATTGCTATTTTTACTTCTGTTACTGTGATTGATCCAATTGTCAGCTATATATTATGTTAAGGTTTGGCTCTTACGCCCTTTTTTAATTTTGTGGGATTTAGTTTAATTTTTGGTTCGAATATGAGTTTTTGAGATCTTATATACTTTACACCTGCAGATTTCAAATAATGCAGGGCAGATTTATTCTGTGTCCCTTCATAGTCCTCATTTTAATTGGATCCATGATTTAAGCTCATTTGACAAAAATTTCAGTCTAATTTCTGGTAATAATGGTCTTCTGTATGTTATTCTGCCCATCAAGGCTCTTGTGTTGGCATTAGATGTTTCTATGGGCAATCTTTTATGGCAGACAAGTATTGGACCTTTAAGTGCAGCTGAAGGTGCAGCAATGGTGGATTCTAATGGTAAAGTTGAGTTACAGATGAACAGTGACTTCTAATACAACTAAAGTACAATAATATAGGAATCAAACTCAAAATTGAAGATCTCAATGGCAGGTTGGATATCTCTTGGTTCATTGGATGGATTTCTCTACTAAATCTCACCAAATGGAGTTGTGAAGAAATTTTCAAAAGAATCTGAACTAAATAATGTTATTCAAGTTAGTCCATTACTTGATTGTTCTGGCTACGCAGTTTACATATGTCAAACAGAGATGGAAGGAAAGGTTAGTCAAGTAATTGGGGAAGTCAAACAGAGATGGAAGGAAAGGTTAGTCAAGTAATTGGGGAATACAATTATATCTCAGCTTTGAAGCCTAAAGGTGTTGTCTTCACCTTGTTGGTTCCAGCAACTGGAGCTGTCTACTGGTCTGAAAGCTATCCTGGTAATTTTTTTTCAGTCTTGATTTTGGCATGAAAAGATTTTAATTAATGGAGTTTCTATCTCATTATCTCCAAAAGACTCTCAATGTGCTCTCTTGCAGATCAATTTCCATTGTTATTGTCTCAAAGTGATTTGCAGCATTTTGTATTGGATGAGGGAATCCTTCTTGCATTTATTGCTGCTTCAAGTGAGATTCTAACACAATCATAAACTAAACCCTAATCTGGGATAAAAGTTAACAAATGGTATTATATTAAAACGTGAGCATTTATTATAAACTTTATTTTATTAGTAAACTTGACTCTAACCGGAGTTCGAACTCGAGATTTCTATATTTTATACACGATTACAGTACAAGCACTAAAAATTTTACACATACATGTACAATTTTATTGTTACTCATTTCTAGATAATTGTTTGCTATAAAATTTTAAATTAATTAATTGAATAAATCATTGGTAATTAACTAATCACAGACTATGTTCGTCTTATGTGTTATTGAACTTACACTTTGGCGGATGACATGCAGAGGTAGGCAACCCACTACCATGCCGTAGCAAAGGTTCTTTTTCTTTTTAATCTCTTCTTGTAAATTTTCTTGATGATCATATGATATAAACCACGACAATCTTTTTTATTTATTTATTTTGTGATCAGATGAGAAGCTTGTATCTACCTGCTCACAAGCAAGGCCCAAGCATCCTGCTCACAAGCAAGGCCCAAGCATCCCAAAAATTACACGGGCAAGCTCTATAATTCTATAAACATTGAAAAATTATTTAACAATTTTTAAGAAGTTGATATGAAAAGCTGTCTTGTATTACTCTTGATTCAGGTAATGAGAGACCAATAATGTTGTTTCTGGTATTTGAGTCCATAGTGTTGGTAATTTTAGCTGGACTTGTGCGATTTTGCTGCACATTTTGGAGCAAAAAGAAACTTCAAGATCAAGATTTGGGAGATTTTCTTGAAAAGAGAGTAAGAGCATTCATATGTTCTGCATTAATTCTTTGCATAAACATATTTTTCACATTTTCCGATATATAAAAATTAATATCATAAAATACTCGAGTGTCTGTCTTGTAATACAGAAAGATAAATCTTCAAATTCTGATACTTCTTCCCTCTTTGAAAAATGTTCAGCGATCTCTCCAGCTGAAGAAGAAAGCATTCGATAGGACGATAACAGAACTACAACAAAAGGCTGCAGAGGAAGCAGTGGCAAATAATGTGATAGAAGAAATGGGAGATTTGATAAGAGAAAGAAACGTAATTGAAAGGAAGCTCTCAACGACATACAGTTTGGGCAGAGATGGCCATGGCCTCCAGTCAAAACCTATCCTTCAACCTATCCTTCCAGTTGTGATGCCTCCAGTCAAAACCTATCCTTCCAGTATGTGATGGAAAAACAAGGAGTTACTCTTTTCAAAGTGTAAAGAAAGAAAGTGTTACTATTTTTCACACATTAAGTGATACATCTTCTGAAGAAAGCAGCAGCAAGAGAGATTATAAGTCCAAGGCAAAAGAACCAGTACAAGCAGAAGATAGTTCAAGTGATGATGGAGATTGGGTACTAGACTCACCAAATTCATCAGGACCAGTAGCATCGAGTTCAAAGGAAGTAATAGAGCTGTGTGATGACGGAGAAGAGGTGCAATCAACAGAAACAAGTGGAAGAAGAAGCATATGGTTGAAAAGAAGGAGGGCTTTGTCTTCAACTGACTAGCAACAATTTAATTTTGAAGTTTCGAAAGTTTTTGAATAATTTTATAACAATGCAACTGGCATGAACTAAAAACATACCTTACCCAAATAATTGGCAAGTATCATTCTTTGCTTCTATATATATATATAACCCTCGATTCCTAAAACGAAATTTCCAATTGCAATCGATTTCAATGATATTTTGGTTTCGGCAAGTTTTGGTAAGCTACATATTTTTTTCATTTTTAGGAAAAATAAGAAATTCAAATAGAAATTTGAGCAAATTTTAATAAAATTATTTTATTTTAAATATTAAATTTATCTGATATAATTAAGATGTACCGTATCTTCATTATGTTAAAAAAAAAAAAAAACGGAACTAAGTCTGCGCAAACCACTAGTTTATTTGGTGATTTTGGGCTAGGTTGATTCTAATCTAATTTTATTTGGAACAATTTCGAATCAGCTTATTTTTTTTCCGATTTTATTCATCTATCAATTGTATGAATCAATTGAATCAAATTCTTTCTAACTAATACAAGAAAGAACCTAAGCAATTTTTAAAGAATCATTAATAACAAGCCAAAGCCACGGTATGGTACTAGATAAAATAGTGTATAAAATTTGTACACTTAAAAGAACTAAATGAGCAAACTTTAAAAATTAATTTATATACGGAATTAGCTTCACCCTAAATATGAGTTAAATAAGTGAATATTATCACCGGATCAAATGGGTTAAAATTCAATGGTTATGTTTGAAAGAAGTAAAATAGGAAAAGAAAGTTGTTAAAAGTTTAATTTCTTAGCAAAAATAAAAAAAGAGAGAAAAATTAGTAAAAAACATTTTCTAATTGACTCTTAATATTTCCCTACCAAATTTAAATTAGAGTATAAAAAAAAAAAGAATAAAATATAATTAATTTTCAATTCTAATGATTTTAATGATTTTACCACTCCTTTTAGTAATTTCACAAGATGCAATACACTATCGTATTCCGACATTTATATGATTATCGCCTCTTACAGTCTTACTTCTTGGGGAAAGAAAATCCAACAGATCCGGCTCTCGATTCGATTCCGCTTCAGCTTGGTGGGGTTCACTTCTTTTGCAGATACACAAGTATTCCGATTTCCCTTATCTCAGGTGAAAACCTTTGCTTCAAAACCCTAATTCTACCTTCTTTTTCTTTCCCTGTTAGGTTGCCGAGAAAGTTCAGGAAAAACCTTTGCTTCAAAACCCTAATTCTACCTTCTTTTTCTTTCCCTGTTAGGTTGCCGAGAAAGTTCAGGAAAAGAATAGGAAGCAATTGAAACCGCTAACTTTGTCTCCTTCCTTTTTGATTTGTTCACCTTTTTAAGCTTAGTTGCTTCAATTTCTGTTATTTTCATCTCGGTAAGCAGAAAAGAATATTATTCACTTAAATTGTTCGTTCTTGATATTACTTTGCCTTTTGCTATTAAAGAAATAGAAATGAGATTTGTTTAAAGTTTAATATAATGTCATTGGGTGATGTGATTGAAATGAACTATTTCCAATTTTGATTATGATTTTTAGGCAATACTTTAATTTCTTCTTCTTTGTAGGTTAAAGCACATGATTGAGAGTCTAGCATTTTGTACTGGGCTAAAGTTTCATTCAGTTTAGCGTGTAGTTGCCTGGCTAACTTGGCGTTTTAATTGTTGTAATGTTTGTATTCTATTTCCTCTTTCTAATTCACATACTGGAGATACTGCCACTTCTATTGTTAAAGACTTAGACATGGAGTCTTCTGTAATCTCTAACAGAGTATGATATATAATTAACTAGGAAGTTAGAGATCGAGTCTTATTTACAGATTATGATATATGGTTAATTAAAAAGTTAAAGTTTTCTTTTCTGTGAATGTGATTTCTCAATTGGCGTGTGATATGGTGAGCAGTTTTTTGCTTCAATAATTAGAAATTATTTCATGCAGGTTAATTGCAACACTTTTGGCAGCACACTTGTAACAAGAAAATACCTTCCCTAGGTATGGAAACTGAGGATATGATTGGCCTCCCTGCTTCCAGCAATTCTAGAGATAGCAGTGAGAGCGGTGAAATTCACAAGTCTGGATTTGGGTCAGGTGAAGCTGATTCTCAGCCTAGGAATTTTGAAGCTGAAGAAGATGTGGGTGATGGAGATAGTTTGAGGCTCAATGACGATATTGATACAGAAAAAGGAATAAGAGGCCCTGATTGTTTGGCGCTTGTCGAAGACGATACTGGAGCAGAAAAAATATTAGGAGATTCTGAGGTTTTGGACAGCAATGAAGATGATATTGGAACAGAAGAACATGTGACAAGATTAGAGAACGAAGGAATCAGTATAGATGATGCTGTAACAAAAAAGAAACACATAACAGAATCAGAGAATATCAGATTTAATATAGATGATGCTATAACAGAAGAAGGCACATCAAATCCAAATATTTTGTTGCTCAATCAAGAGGATGTTAGAAATGAAGAGGGCCAGTTTCCAGTGGAAACAGAGGTTGACATGGATTTGGTTGATTCACCTGTCATGCAAGTGAACATTGAAGTGGCTGACACTGTTACAGTTTCTGAGAACCTGAGCAGCTTTGGCTTTAGGGTGAATGCTCTACAAGATCACCGTGGTACCCTAAATGAGAGTCTTATCATGATGAATGGCGGTTGTATCCTGTTTAGCATCTAATAATTTTTTATAATCTATTCGACTTCATATTTGCATCCAGGTTGTAAGCTACAAATTACTTTAGTAAATGATTGCCGAGATTTAATCCATAAATGGCACTTTCTGTCTGCATAATGTTTTGATGTACCTTTGTTATTTCCATAATTCAATATGAAAGCTGCGTCAGGTGTTAAGAGAGCAAGGATTACATACGAGGGACAACAACCTTCAGTGCATGTTACATATAATTCATTAACAAGGTCAGAGTGGAAGTACTCGTTATAACTTGACAAATCCAAGAATTTAGAGCTGTATGTTTTTGTTTCCCCTCAAAGTGTTCACTGCTATTATAATTGTGGACTTAACGGGAGGCAAATTTTCCTATTTAGAGTTGGTTAGATTTTAATATATCTAATTCTTTGGAGGTTGTTGAATTCCTACAGATCTAGCAAACGGAAGCTGGAGGAAGTATTACAACAGTGGTCGGAGTGGCATGCTCAACACGGTTCAATGTCTCAAGTAAGTATGTTATAAATCGTGGTCTCCTGCTTTTCCTTTCAGCTATGAAAATTCTCCATTAGTTGAATTGCCTTGTCTTTAGAGTAAGGCAGGTTGAAGTACGATGTGTTCTTATTCTTTTCCTCCCAAATATTGAACTGAAGTGTCATGGAAACACCTATATGTTTTATCTTTTGATTTTGGATTTTTTAACTTAACTTTTAGGATCAAAGAGGCATAGGAATAGCATAAACCTAATTCACCAAATACTAGGTTGCCCATTTTACTATTCTACCAACAACTTGCCTCCAATCTTAGAATGTGCTTGCTCATTAGTGTGAGATAGGCATTTGTGAGGTGAGTTAGTTTTTCTTAACCCTTGAGCCACTTTCATTATTAGTCTTGAGTTGATTGTTGAGCTTGCTTCTATAAATAATCGTAACTTGTAATTTAAGGATAAAAATCCAAAAGGCATTGTCTAGTCTAGGGATGAGGATATGATTAAGTGAACTGAATTTCTAAACTAGCCAACTTTTATGACACCTAAATGATAGCAAACAAAACTGAGAAATAATGCATTGCATCTTAACATTAAATTTCCACTTCCTCCATTTTGTTCCTTCCGAGCTTCCACAGTCATTATCCCACCACTCTGCTATGGTTCGTGGCATCTTGTAATTCTTCCAAGAAGAAACAGTGAGAGTTCATAGCCTGATGAACTTTTATCATTCATAATCTGCTCTCTAGAAGATAGAATACATTGACTAACGTCTATTGTAAGGAACTTCTATATGCCCTTCGCATTTGCCTCACTGAGCTTCTCTTTCAAAAGACTTCAGGTGATTTTAGTGGTTTAGCACATTCATAGATATATTGACTTGCAACTGCCTTAATCTTTTATTGCAAAGAAAATGTTTGTTGATGTTCTATGCATTCATAGATATATTGACTTGCAGCTGCCTTAATCTTTTATTGCAAAGAAAATGTTTGTTGATGTTCTATGCATTCATAGATATATTGACTTGCAACTGCCTTAATCTTTTATTGCAAAGAAAATGATTGCACTTGCAACTGCCTTAATCTTTTATTGCAAAAGCAAAGAAAATGTTTGTTGATGTTCTATGCATTCATAGATATATTGACTTGCAACTGCCTTAATCTTTTATTGCAAAGAAAATGTTTGTTGATGTTCTATGTGATGCAGATAATCTGTTGCTATTTACTCATGTTCTCGATGTATAATCTTGAACCAACTGATCTAAATTATGTACTGTCTGTCAGGAGTTGGATGAAGTGCTAGAATCTGGCGAGGAAACATACTTTCCTGCTCTCTGTGTTGGCATGGAGAAATCCTCAACGGTGGTAATTATCTACACTCACATCTTGTCTTTCTTGCTTCCAGTTGTGGACTGAAATTTGAGTGAACCTTGTGTTCTTGGAGATATTGAAATTTCACTTTGTTTTTGCTGTCTACCCTGTCAACATTTTCCTCATTATGTTAACCATGCGAGTTGACTGATAATGCCCTTCATCAATTAACTTCTCTAATTTTTGAGGGATTTTCACAATTCTGTTGGCTCATACCAAGGATTAATAATTTTAAAAATCCAAATTCTTGGTGCTACTGTGCTATAAAGTATGGCATTCTTTTGTTTTTTAAGTTGATACACCTACTTTCGCGTTGGTGTCAATTATAGGAAGCCTGGAAGAGGGACATTCTGGAACACTCAATATGCTAAAGTTGACTATTTCTTATATATAAAATATGAAAGTGCTTGTTGATGTGATATTTTGAATTATTTTTGTATATGTAATAACCTTCAAATTTATCTAAATGCCACCTTTGTTTGTTCTTAAAAAATTTGTTTAGAAAGACAAAAATAAGTTACATTTGGTTTTTCTTTCTTATGGTGTTATATATTGCTCCGTTTTTCATATTTTATGATAAAACTATAGTTCTCATCATCACCTAGTATGTTTTGTCACACCTCCACCAGGCTAGCGACAAGTTGACTCCAACTAGGGGTGTACACTCTACACAATCTATATGAAGAAAAGAATTGGTTGTAGTTTATCCTTGGACCAAAGTATTGGAATTTTTTAATGTCAGTAGTCAAAAGCAAAATATTGAACTACAGGGGTTCTCACAATATTGTGGACTTCAAACTAACTATCAAAGATGATGTCACTATGTCCAAAAATGAGAATTTTTAATCCAATATATTTGTTTTATTTTGGTACAAAACAGATTAGGTCTATACAGTTGTATAAGATCATACGAGACCATGAATTAGATGATTCATGGTCCAAACGCAAGGATAGTAATGGTAATATTGGCATATTGAGGTTTTTTTTTTTTTTTTTCAACTTTTATGGAAGGGTAATAAGTACATGGATACTGCTCTGATATATAAAGAAATAGGAAAAAGCATTATGGTATAGAAGAGGTTGAGGACTTGCCTCTGAACATAAGAGTAAGCCACAGCAGGTTTGAGATAGAAATAGAGTAGTCTATAGGGAAATTTTTCCAAGGGAGACATATTAATACAGGATTGCTACTTTTTAGGTTGCCCACGGAGCATATTTGATAATGTTTAATTTCATTTCTAATCTATGCATAAAATGCTGAACTTTGGGAATTTATGCTATACTTCCTTGATATTTATTGACGATTATCTGGTACCATTAACATATTATGCACTATTCTTTCTTATTAAGACTAAAAATTGAGAAGCCCCTTTTTAGATTCTTACTGACCTAAAATCATACTGTCAACTCCTCTTTTTCTTTTTCCCCCCCTCCATGAATCCAAACTCTTCTTGTACATAATTTAGTCCATGCCTTAGCCTCTTGATTTATGAAGAAAATATCTTCCAATCATGCTGTGACTGTAACATTATTGGCAACTCTGGGGTCCTGAAGATTTTTCATTACATTGAGTTATTCATAATTAGTTAGAACCTGTTTCTCTTCATGTTCCCAATTTTATCTAATTTATTATTATAGGGTTGTTTCCTAGGTTTTGCTTTACCTTGTTAGCTTGTGCCACTCAAAAATTGGTTTGGACCTTAGAACCTTCTTCGCACTTCTAAATGACAAATGCCTTTTTCCTATCCATATTCGTTTTACCATGATAACCATGTCGTTTTGCTACTTAATACATCCATGCAAAATCTAACTAATCATTGGATTTTTTATTGCCAAAAATATCAAAAGTTAGTTTGTTTGTGAGTCTCAATTTTTATACTCTACTTCTTACTTGAAGTGTTATTTTATTTGCAGTCTTTCTGGATAGAGAATGAACCAAAGAAACCGCGGAGCAATGGATATAATCCTTCTGATGGTGGCACTGTGCCTCTTTATGATCGTGGATTTGCTTTAGGTTTGTCTTCAACAGATGGTCCAAGTAATGTGGAAGGGTAAATGAATTTTAACCTTTGTTTCTCTCATGAGTATAATGTTTTAAGATCTAGCCTCTTGGATTTGATTGTCATTTATGCTCAAGTTACTCAGAAATCTAACAGTTTATATGAGCTCTTTTTTAATTTCTCTTTTTGATTCAGCTCAAAATATGTAAATTTATCATGTTAACTGAGCATAATAAAGAAAATTAACATTCACAATAATGATTAAATGATAAGAGATGGCGAGGGAAATATAACTGAATTCAGAATACCTATTTCCTAATAAGGCAAGCCATATCTATATATCTACATGCCAGTTTATCATCAAGAAACTGGATAACCTCACTCGGGCTTGGGATAACTGTGGATTCTGTGTATATAATTTTGCCTTTTTTTGACTATACTAATAAGTAAGGTTCTTAAATGCATAAATTCTATATCACTGGTGTGCATGGGTGGGACCTTCTTCAGTCTCATGTGGTTTTAACTTGTGCCTGAGAAAAAAAATGTAAAAATAAAATGAATACTCCTGAGTATTTCCACAGGATTATGATTTGTATGCATATCATGGTTTTAAATAATATTCAGTTATTCACTACCCCTACACGTAAAAGGTGCTTTTTTTTTTTCCTCTTTTTGGCTTTAAAGGGCTATCCCTCTGATATTCACTACCACAGGATTTTTTCTTAATTTTTAGTTAATTTCTATTATATGTATTATTTACTGCTTTTTTTTTTTTTTTTTTCTATTATATGTATTATTTTACTGCTTCTTTTTTTTTTTTTTTTAGGCTTTTGTGTTATGTCCATTGACAACTCTGTTTCATTACATGTGATTGCAACCATGATCTCCGGTTTTTTTTTTTTTTTTTTAGGCTTTTGTGTTATGTCCATGACAACTCTGTTTCAGTTACATGTGATTGCAACCATGATCTCGGCTGTGACTCTGATTTAAATCATTGATGTGTGTTAAAAATATGGATCCAGTGGAAATTTGACAAGTACAGATCGCTGAATGGATAACTTGAGGAGTATAGCCTATTAAACAATGATGGGAGAAAGACCATTAGAAACTGTCCTCCGTACAATACTCTAATAAATTAGGAACTGTTATCCCTCTGATAGACCATGAGTATAAAACACTTCATTTAAGTGCTCCATTAATTAATTATGATTATATTCCAGTTATCTGTCGGTTCACATTTATATGCAGTATTCTACCTTTAATATTTGCTTTGCTGGAGAACCTTTCATATTGTATATCTTTCTTCTGTTTTATAGGGGCTTGGAAATAGTGGGCGAGGCTGCTCGTTGTTTCAACTGTGGTTCTTACAGCCATTCTCTGAAGGAGTGCCCTAAGCCTCGCAATAATGCTGCTGTAAATAATGCTCGGAAACAGCATAAATCCAAACGGAATCAGGTTGCTGGATCTCGCAATTCTATTCGATATTATCAGAACTTGTCTGGTGGAAAATACGAGGGGTTAAAGCCAGGTGCTTTAGATGCTGAAACAAGGCGACTTTTGGGGATTGGGGTAAGAAATTGCATCATCAAATAAAAACAAACATCTGTTCCCTGCACTAGAGAATTGGTGCTCTATCTATTGGGCACAAATTTACAGCAAACTCAACCTGAAATGTTAGAGAATCTATCTCAAATTTAAGATTGCCCTATGGTTTATCAGGCCTCGGGTAACATCATACTTGAATAATATGGGAATGCTTAATGCAAGAACTGGAAAGTGATTATATATATGCATCATAAATGAATCAGTACAAGGGAAATGGTTTTCTTAAATCAAGCGGTATATTTGCTGTTTTTGGTTTAATAGACACGGAGTAGGTTTAGACCAGGCAAAGAACATGAGAAAGCTTTCCTCTTACAGTTTCTGAGGATCATCCTGATTGACCTTCTGGTTTTTGATGATATCATTTGGTGCCTGAACAATGTGCTAGCTTGAAGTCTAAAATCCATTCATTTGCTTTTATGTTCATTCTTCCCTTTATGTTTAGCACTCTCCACTGTGAATATACATATATAACTAAAAGAAAAGGGTTTTGTTCACTGGTCCTAAAATTAAATGTGGGTGACTGGCCTATGAGTACGTTTCAGAAGTTATCCTTCTAATAAGGTTTAACTGCAATTTGTTCTGGTGAAGTCAGTATAATATTCAAACATTTGTTGTTGTCATTTCTGAATATTGATAATTTCTTAATATAATCTTCTTAATAGGTTTCATATTAAGGAACATTGTTATGTACTATGGTAATTGTTGGTCACCATTCATCTTAGTTTGGGTCTAAGCTGGAAAATAGCAAAAGTCCACTTTTACTGAATTCAGGCAACCCTGGAGCTGGTCCCATTAAAAAAATATGATGCTCATTTGCAAGTTTCTTACCCTAGTTGGTTGCATGAGAGTTGGACCGTGCCTAAATTTTGCTAGAGAAATCAAATGTTTGATTTGCTCCTTCGAGTTTGTCAAATCCAGAGCACTCTTTTTTTTGGTGAAACTTTGAACTTTTTTGCTGCTTGGATATTCACATTGAAATTGCTGTACTTTCGTGTTCTTGTTTACAGGAGCTTGATCCACCTCCTTGGCTCAACAGAATGCGAGAACTGGGATACCCACCAGGATATCTAGGTAACTGAATTTATTATTTGATTACCTAAATTCCTAGTTTTCTCAGCATTTTAACTTCCCATAATTTAGTTTTAATTGCCCATACTGGTTGGAAATTATACGGAGTCCTCTGTTGAGTTTAGTTTCTTTACTCAATTATCTGGGGAATTTTTGCTATTATCCTTATCCGATTGGGCTCTTTCAGGAGTTGGATAAATATTTTCTCAAGCACTGTGATTTCTCCTCCATCCACAAATAGTAGTTCTAATTTCATTTTGTGATATCCTAAAAAAATTGTCCAAAAAAAGCAATCTACCTTTCCTCAAGTCAACAAGTCAAAAAAATGAGGGTAAAGCCACCAAGCTCAAAAAATGTACCTCTTTCTAACGAGTTCTTAGTCTCCATGCCAAAGTCATTAAGGACTATAATTTGTGGAGGAAAAGTTTGTTGCATTTGGTTGAGACATAAACCTGATGTCCGATTTTTGTGCGATTGATTTGATTTTGGTGGGTTTAATGAATATGTTTATAAATATTATGAGCTGCAAATATATTGCACCTAGCTAAAAATTGTTATTCCATATGTTGCTTTTCTTTTTCATTTCCAATTGAGTTGCATACAAGGTATCAATATTTGTCTATATTGGAGGCTGAAAAATCACTGACAATATCCTTGAATTTGAACTTCTCCTCCTGGAAGCACCCTCCATTAAGAAAACATTATCTAAGTGCTCTCTGGACACTAGTCGCAAGGTTGATGATAATAAAGGAAATTCGGACCATGCATGATTGTTACAATTGCTCGAATGCTTATTCAGCTAATTATGAATGACGCATGATTCTTTTTGCACTTAAGTGTCTGAAGCTGTGTTATTATGCAGTTTCCTTGTCATTCTTCGTTATGTCGATTTACAATTTGTTTTAAATAGAATGGAGCTTGTTATTTTAGATAGCAATTATGTTTTGTTCATGCCATTACCTTCATATTTCAGATCCAGATGATGAGGATCAGCCATCGGGGATCACAATATTTGCTGATGAGGATGTCCAGGAAGAACAGGAAGATGGGGAAATAGTTGAAACAGAAAACCCAGACCCACCAAGGAAAAAGGCTGTTGAATTTCCAGGAATAAATGCACCAATCCCTGAAAATGCTGATGAAAGAATCTGGGCAGCTGGGCCTTCAGGCTATGACCCATCGAGGAACCGATTACACCGTAGGTCAAACCATTCTTCAGAATCTATTAGTAGATGGAATCACTACGAACAAAGAGGGCCTAGGGACTCCATTGATGAAGGGCCTCCAGGTGTTGATCCAGTATTTAGTCCATCTAGATCTAGTTATCCTCCAAGATATGGTAATCATGATTCTAGTTATAATTTGGATAGTCCTAAGGATTCATTCGCTTCCCTTTCAAGGTCGCATTCTGATAGAGGAAAAAGGAGTCCCTTGGTATATGAAGATTCCGCGAGTCATAGTTCATCACCATACTCATCTTCGAATAAACGCACTTCACCTAAGGATAGATTAGAGAATGTGACAGATGAGAGGTGGAATGAATCTGGGTCGGATTATTTGCATCGAAGTAATGACGAGTATGACCGCTATGAGCATGACCGGCACCGCCACCGTAATTGGAGGTAAATGGCATTATCCATTGTTGTAACAGTATGGAATGTATGTACTTTTAACTCACAGAAAATATTGAAAAACAGCAAGATGGAGAATCCGTTTTTGTTATCTGACAGGAGATATTTGTTTCTCTATCCAACAACTAGGGGAAGGGCCAAAAGGCTATTGTACAAAAGAATAGTGGGATTTTGCTAATTTCGATTGTTTTGTAGCAATTCATTTGTTGAGGACCTTCTCTTTTTCTCTGTGGCAGGATAATCTGTTTGGAAATAATTGTCAACCTCAATGTTGGCAACTTTTGTAATTACATTTGCATGTTGTAACTTTTATGGAATTTACGCAGATTCTGAGGGACTGAAGTTGCAAACTTCCTAGTAAAATAGTTGTGATCTTGGATTTTGTGCGGGTTGAATTGAAAATCGTACTCAAAAGAAAATTAAAAATTTTTAACAACATTATAATTTTTTTTTTTTTTTACTTTACCTAAAGCATTGTGGATAAAGAAAAATATTGGATTGGAGCAAATTGCAAAAATATGTTTATGACATTAATTTCTTTTTTTTTTTTTATCTATTTTAGAAAAGAAGTGAGAAGTTGTTTAATCTGTTCGCATTTTGAGTAAATATCTTTTACTATCATAATTAATTTAATGTTATATAAGCTTTAATTAGGTTTTCCTTCATTATCTAAAAAAAAAAAAAAAAAAATAAGCTTTAATTAGGTTCCTTCATTATCTAAAAAAAAAAAAAAAAAAAAAAAAAGGTTTTGTCTTAGTAAAAAAAAAAAAAAAAAAAGGTTTGTCTTAGTATTTAACATTTTACCTCTATAAATCAGAAGAAATAATCAATTGTCTAAATTGGAAGAAAAAATTACCTAAAATTAGAAAAGAATAATATAATATTGCCGATCTCATTTAAAAATATATATATAATTGTAAATGTAAGAGGACGTTATATTAAATATGAATGACAAAATACCCAACTATTACAAAGTATTTTGTCAGTAAAGAAAATATTTTCTATACGGAATAACTAAATAATTTAACAAGCCTCAAGAACTAATCAATAGTTTTTTCAAACAATAAATATATGGTAATAACGTTGACTAATATTGAGAGTCTAACTAATTAGTTATGTTATAAAAATTCTACTATATAAAGGTTTTTTTTTTAAAAAAAAAAGAGAATAATTATAATTTTAGTATATAAAATTTTACTACTTTTTATTTTAATGTCTCAATATTATTTTTTATCAATTAAGTGTCTCGACTAATAAATATTTTATAATTAAATACATTTAATTGAAATTTCTCAACGGAAAATCAAAATAAACTCCTTCACTTTTTTTTCCACTTTATATATTTCTTTATATTGTTAATTTTATCTTGTATTTAATTTCTATTTATTTTTGAGAAAAAATAAAATTATAAAAAAATTCTGATATATTTTTTTCCAATTTGAGATAGAAGACAATAAAAAAAAAGTTAAAGAAATAATTAAAAAAGATAAGTGAATTGAACATATGTTCATATTTGATATTGTTTATTGAGTAGAATTGTCTATTTTAATTTTTCGATAAAAATTATTTTAGCCTAATGTACTTAATAAAAAAATTATTATACACTTAATTAATAAAAATAATTAGAAAATAAATTTGGCAAAAATTACGTATCAACAGTATTATTATTTCAAAAAACAAAAAGCGAAAGACGCGGTGGAATCCGACGTTGCAAGTTGCAAGAGCGAGGTCCGTGCAAATTTCGCGGATTAGGACACACTCGGGTAAGTCTATCCCACCTGCGGACACACACAGATAACAGATTGCAAAACACCGGCAGAGTACAACTTGTTACTATTTATGAAACAAAATCTGATCGAAAAATCCAGACAAAAAGAAAAATCCGAAACAAAAAAAAAAAGAAAATTCTTGCCCCCACGCACAGGTCTCTTTCCTTAAACCCTTCTTCAAATTTCTCTTTCCGATTTAGGGTTTCTTTTATTGGTTCTCGATTTTGTCGGTAATTACTGTTTCTCGTTCATCTTCTCTCCCTCTAAACTCATAATTTAAGGAAAAAACAGAAAATAAAAAGAGAACACGAAGGTTTAATCTATCAATTAATCTGCATTGTGATTATATGATCTTATCAATTTCGATTTATTGTTGTTATGTTATTGAATTGTGCTTTGTTTGCTTTCTTTCGTCATGTTCTTGTGTTGCTGTTATCGTTCTCATTCTGTTGATAGGGCTAATGGATTTTGTTATGAGACGGTGCCGTTTAGGGATTCGAGAGCCTCAATGTATGCGTGTTTATTTCGAAACACTTTTTTTTTATTGGCGGTTAGGTATATGGAAATTTGGCGGGAATGCTTGTTAATTCGATCACTCTGTATGTTTTGTACAATTTGAAGGGTAATATGAATTCTCTTTTAGCTTTCAATTTTTGGTAGGAGAATTTCAGTGTATTTGATTTTATGGTCTTAATTGCTTTTCTAATTCCAAATTCTTCTGTTAATTAATGCTCACTCTTTTGTTTGTTGTAGATAATGGATTATTAATCTATTTGAGGTGTGTTTGTATATCTGCCCCTAGCTAAGTTTAGTACGTACATGACGTACAAGTGTTTTTGGGTAATGCAATTGAGTCAGATGAGGTGGGTTGATGTGATGTTCAATGCTTGTCATCCAATCCGTTGCATTTTGTTATGCTGGAGAAAGTAGAATATTGTGACGATTGAGGCATTTAGGGCAGTTGAAGCAAATTTTAACTTTTGTAGCATATTGGTGCATTTGTGGAATTCTGAATAATAATGCAGTTCACAAAGTGTAATTCATTTGTTGATGGCAAAAAGCATATAGAAAATGGGTCAATAAGTTACTCTTTGATGTCGATTCCTGAATACCAAGTATGGCCCTTAATGAGCTATCTTTTGGAGCATACCAACAACAATAACAAATAAGCTTAATCCCAATTAGTTGGATGGCCTATGTGAATTCTTTGTTTTCGTTTGGCTTTGTTCATAGTTAGTCCATACTAATGTCAAGAATTAATAAATCATTTGAGACAATTTCTCTCAATGTGGTTCTAGGTCTGTCTTTATCCCATTTAGCACTCTACACTTGTAATATATTGCACTTATGAACCAGAGCATTCGGGGGTCTATGTAGGACATGATGATACCATCTTAGACGTCCTTCTTTCATTTTATCCCCTAACTTGTCGTACTTGCACCTTTTGTCGGATGTGGTCATTTTTAATGTTGTCTGACAACAAATCCATTTTAATATTAGCACATTCAAGTTGCTTTTCACTTTGTTAGATATCTTCCTATCAAAGATCCAAGATTTGATTTGATGTTATTTCATTGATTCTTCTTAAATTGCATTGATTTATCCTAAAGATTGTGTTTCAATTGGAATGTGATTATTCACGATGTACAAGTATCCCCGCTAAGCATCCATGAGATATGACATGCACTATGGATTAAAGGTTTCTTTTGCTGGTATATAAGCTTTTTGCATTTGACATGGTTATTTTGGTAAGATGTAATCTTTTATCTTGTTTTCTTAAGCGGGGATAATACTCTTGAATACTTGTTACCAATGATGTGTTTTTGATAGAGCCAGATTTATATAGAAATACATCAGAGTTAAAATTACCCAAATATATATATATTTTTTATTTCACTTGTTTTGTTTGCTAGTGAATTTCTAATAGTTGTGTAATTATAGCAGCATGAACATAGAACTACATAACTAAGCAAGATGCTTGCAAAGGGATATGTGTCAGAGCAGATCTTTGGCCAGATACAAATTCATCCTTTCTCAAAATCAAGTCTCTCCCAGTTGGGAGGGAACGCTTCACATCAGTACCATGTAAATGACCTGAATGGTGGTCAGATTGACTGGCGTAAAGATCCCAGAATCAGTTGCTTTCGTGATTTGGTTAGAAACAGAATGTAAGTTTTAGGAGTTCTCCTTAACTCTTATCAAATACTTTCTCCTCCTAACATGAACTCCAAGGAAAATAGGAGATAATTTAAAGAATTTGTTTTGGTTATTCATCCTTAACATTTCATAAATTGTTCCCGTGTGTATGCAGTGCTGAAAGTTGTGAATTGGGAACAAATTATCAATGGCAAGAACAAGCATCTAATCTTGTAAATAGCTTAGAAAACCAATTGTTTATGGAAGCTTCTTCAAAGGTACGTTCTGTTAATTAAACTAACATTTGGACCAATTCCTATCTTTTTGTTTAATGTTTTATATGTTATAGCAAATATTCATGCAGCAAGGTGTCATCTTAAATCAGAAATTGTCTGTCTAATGACGAATCTAGTATATGACTTTTACATTTTTTGTATTGAGAAATCTATTAGACCCGGGGGCGGGCGGGGGGGGGGGGGGGGGGGGGGGGGGGGTTTTAATCATGTCTCATAGTCAATTATTCATCATGCTAGCAACGGTTGTCATCATTTAAATCAGAAATTGTCTGTCTTAATGACGAATATCTAGTAATGTATGAACATATTTACATTTTTTGCTCATTAGAGGAAATCTATTTAGACACCGGGGCGGTCAGGCGAGGGGGGACGGGGTGATGTGGTTAGGGGGAGGTAGTGAGAACAGGAAAAACGAGAAGTTGTGAGAATGCGTCTTAAAACTCCTAAAATAGAAATCTCAATTTGGGGGGGGGGGGGGGGTGTGTGGTGGTGGGAGGAGAACAGAAAAAGAGAAGTGTGAGAATGGCGTCTTAAACCTTAAAAGAATCAATTGGTTGCACTTCTTGTTTAGTTGAGGTTTCATGAAAGTGCAAGACAAACTTGTAATCTTTTTTTAAATATTTCCAGGAGGAGTATATGAATCAGGATGTGCTGAGACAGCGGTTACAGTGTCTATTGAAAAAGATGATGGTTGATTTAAATTGCAGCCAACTAGCATGCAGCTACACTGGACCCACATTCGAAGTGATGCCAACCTTGGGTTTGACTCATGGTTTCAATTCAGCAACAGTACCTCCTTTTGATCGGTTCACCATTGATATTGTTGACCACAACTCGATGGTGGCTGACAATACTGATAAATTTAGCTTCCTAAAAGGTAATCCATTGAATCTTCCAATGGATTTGTTGAATAATTTGATAATTCTCTAGTTTCATTTTCCATAGAACTTTTTTTTTCCTTTTACGCCACTGTAGGATTACTGGATGGGAACAAGCCAGAAGTTGCAAACATGTGCACTGATTCAAACATGAGGCAGATTTCTAATGAGATGCTTCTTTCTTCTGAAAGGAGTTCTACCGTTCCTACATTTTCTGAACTGAGTTCTACCATCACTACAAGTTCACATGGGGAAGGTTTTTCGGAGTTTGAAACTTTTGATGGTGGATCACTCTTTTCCAGGGGAGACTATCAATATAGTTTGGAGGCGTCATCCAAAGACAGTGTTCAACGGCAACTTCTTGCTCACGGTATGTGCATTTGCATATTGACCAGATTCTCCAAATTCCTGAGTCTCCATGATATATTAATTAATTTATTTCAGCCACTTTATTTTTTACAGCTGTCTAATTGGTCAATTATTAACTAAATCACAAATGTTAAGTAGCTCAAAGTGCAACTGATTGAAAGTAGTAATTACATCCTTTGAATATTTTGTTGCATTTTTTCCCCATCAGTGTACTAAACTTTATGAATTTTTCTTTTTATATTTTTTACTTTTAACTATACTTTCTCTTGAACTTCCTAAAGAAGATACTAATTGTGGAGAAAATTGAATTTCCACTATATCTTGGCTTAGTTTGGCCAATATGTGGATGATTCTCAGTATTTACCATGCCTCAAATTAATTCCTGATACCACTTGTAACTTTATGATTGTGGTATATGTCTGTACTACTTTCTTCATGGGTTTACGTTATAATGGTTGGTTATGCACTTTAGAACTTTAACATAGCTCTTAGTGATAACACATTTTCTCATCTGTATAGAGCTGGTCTGGTATCAGCAACGATGTAATACCATCACATAGTTAGAGCTAAATTAGTTGTGCATGCTTCAGAAGTTTATGTTATTTAAAACTGTTATCCGTGAATAGTTTATCTAATTTGTAATATGTAATCGACCTATGTGCTTAGTTTCTTTTCTTTTTTTTTTTTTTTTTTTTTTTTTTTTGCACCTATTGTTATATCATATACACAATAGCTTGAGCTAAATTAGGTGTGCCACTCGCTTCGAAGTTTATGTTATTTATAAAAACTGTTATCCATTCGGTGAATAGTTTATCTAATTTGTTATCTAGTGTTAAATCGACATATGTGCTTTCTTTTTCTTTTTATTTTTATGGTGTTCTTTTTTTTTTTTTTTTTTTTTTTTTTTTTTTTTTTTTTTTTTTTTTTTCTATCCCCCTCTCCCTCACTACCCTTTTTATTTTGTGATGTGGGGTTGTGTATTTTGCACATATAGATATCTATAATGCTTGTCATTGTTTTTCTATGTAACTTGCCCCATCTTATCTTTAATCGCCTCTTATCTTTTTTTGTGTGCTTTGTATTTTTCCGTCATCTTTTTGTTTTATAAGAGTGTTTTGCCCATTTTGAATTACTAATTTGTCAGGCCAATGAATCTGGTAATGTTTGCAGGTGTTGCAAATAACCAGAATGAAGTATTGAGGTTTTCATCTACACTGAGTGAAAGCTCGGAGATACCGAATTCAATCTTGCAGATCTCGGAACATGCTCCCCAATTAATTTCTGGAGACTCTATTTTTCCTAGTATGGATATTGGCATGATGAATTCAACTGTTGATCGGGTACTCCAACCTAAATTGGAGATCCTAGAGCAGAAACAACAGCAATCTTATTCATCATACAAGCACTTACATAAAGCATTGGAGGATGAAACACCTTGTTACTTTTCTGAAAAAATAGCTAGTAAGCATTTTCAGTTCCCATCTGAACAGTCACATGGAATCCATGTTGCTTCAGAAAGTTCTTCCCTTGCCATTTCAAAGGGAACTGCCGGCCTGGAAAAATCAAGCAACGATTCTTCTGTTGAACAAAGGATTTTACTTGCTTATGTCAGCCACAAGAGTTCAGCAAGTTCCAGGGGGGACTGTATGGTTTCTTTTGTTAACCACTTGCATTCAACTATGTGCAATAATTGCATGTGCTTGTGTGAACGTTTTTTTTCCCTCCTGTCACATTTTGATAACTGTCACAGTGCTGACTGCTATATCTGTAGTCCTGTCCGATATCAAAGTAATGTGAGTAAATGTCACCAAAATTTTGAAAATATGAACAATGGCCTTTTGAGCAATTCCAGCAATATTCCTGGTGGTGGTTCTGGCTTTTGCTCTTCAGAAATCATGCTGCCACTGCCACCCGCAAAACGTTTGAAGCGCAGCTTGCAGTGTTCCGAAAACTCGTTGCCTCCTTCAAAGGATCTGAAGATGGAGAAGTCCTCTTGTTTGCCATCTGAAAATAGATTTGCTTCTGTATTGGCACCATTATTGGCTCATCCCTTTGATCCAGAAGGACTTCCACCCTTGCAGCAATTGCCTGAATCTCCTGTATCTATTAATTCTGAGGTTCTGGAGGGGACAGTTGAATTATCAAAGCCCATGCGAAATTCTTCAAATGCTGATCAGACTAGGCAAAGTGCAGGTAATGAGTTTTCTAAACTCAGTGATGAGAGTTCGGGTACTCCTGAAGAACCAAGTATTGGTCCCAAAGCTGGGAAGATAGACCCTAGAAGTTTTAGTGTGATTGCAGATGCTGTAAAAGATGAACCTCATGAGTTGAGGTTTGATACCTCATCAGCACTCTCTGAAGAGCTTGGATCCACTTCTAAAGAGGAAGTGATACAAGTAATGCCTAATTGTGACCTTACCAAGCTAGATATTGAGACTGAAAAGGAAGATGTGAAGCCAAACCCAAAAGTACGAGGTGTTTCCTTGATTGAATTTTTCTCAGCAGATGAAATAAGGGACCATATATCAAGCCTTCGGCGGTGGATGGGTCAGGTTTGTGCATTGACTTTACTGCTTTGTTTCCTGAATTGAACTGTTATTAAAGGTTGCAGCTACAGATGAAACCTTGTGATTGCCTGTTATTTTCTTTTAACCATTTCTGTTGCAATTTATTTTGAAATATAGGCTGAAGCAATTGTTTAATTTGGATGGTTTATGCTGGAATTAGACCATGCAATTTCCGGTCCCATTGCTTTTTTCCTTTTAGAATGTGAGTACTGAGTTTGGTGGATCCAAATTTTAAATATTTTCATATCAACAAAATTAAAATTTTATTCATAGCCAGTGCGTAAATTTGTTTGTTCATATGCTAGTGCTTTCTTAGTATGTGTATAGTTGTCTCGTGATCTTACTGGGGTTAAATCCTTTGCTCTTCTTTCTGTCATGATGTGATTTGAAATGTATATTTCCATACCAGAATAATGCAAGATTCCCTTCTCCAATTACTTCACTGAAGTTGCATAAGGCTAGCTCTGACTTTTTGCTTTTGAATGAATGCTAATATGCTTCTGTCTTCTTTTAGAGAATATCAAAGGAAGAAGAGGAAAAACAAGGAGTGCATTGTGCCAATGATAATACATGTCAGTTGTGTGCAGCAGATAAGCTTTTACTTGCTCCAGTTCCAATATATTGCTCATCTTGTGGTTCTCGTATCAAGCGAAGTGTGATTTATTATAGTACCTCAGAGGAAAATGGTATGCGGCATTGTTTTTGTACATCATGTTTTAAGTGTCGAGGTGGGCATGTCAAATTCCATGGGATTACTATTCCCAAGGCAAAGCTGGATAAGAAGAAGAATGATGAAGAAATTGAGGAACCGGTAAGCTAAGGTAACATCTTTGCCTTCTCAGCTTTGTGAAATCCTAACACTTATTCTTCCGTGGTTTTTGATTTCATGCAGTGGGTCCAGTGTGACAAATGTAAAGGTTGGCAACACCAAATATGTGCTCTCTTTAATGATAAAAGAGACATGGAAGGGCAATCTGAGTACGTATGTCCCAAATGCTGCTTGGAAGAGATTGAAAGTGGAGAATATATGCCAGTACCAAATACTGCTGTTTTTGGTGCAAAAGATTTGCCTAGCACTCTGCTGAGTGATTACATACAGCAAAGGCTCTTCAGGCGTCTTCGGCAAGAGAGAGAGGAGAGAGCAAAGGTTTCCAGAAAGAACCTTGATGAGGTTAGTTGCCAACTCTGCACTAGGGTACTGTAATTTTAGCCATGCTCAAATTCAGCTTTTCTAGGGCAGAAGAAATACATTGCAAAGCAAAAATTGATGAATATCATCCATCTTCATTAGTTCAATGTAATTTGAATCAGCAATAAATTGTTTTTTATCAGTTTGAATTGAATGATCAAAATGATATCAACATGAAAGGCTAAGGATCAAATTGATAATACTAGAAGAAGTATTTAAAATTTAATGCACTCGAAGGTTACACTTGTTTGGTCATTAGGCTTTCATGGAATGTTTTATGAAACTTCTAAGAGTTGGTCAATAATGAATATCTTCTTTTTGGATCACATATGCTAAGGACCAGTCTAATCTTGTTTACAAGTAGAAATATAGATATGTGTGTGAATATGTGAATGTATCTTGAACATTTCTGTTATGAATAATCTGCAATCTTAGTTTCAGGAACTTTGGTTGATATATGATGTTCTCTTGGTTACTAGGTTCCTGCAGCAGAAGATCTTATTGTCAGGGTGGTGTTATCTGTTAATAAACAGTTGAAAGTGAAGCAACAGTTTTTAGAAATGTTTCATGATGGCAATTACCCTGAAGAATTTCCTTACCAATCAAAGGTGAGAGTTTTTGCATTTAACATAATAATTCATAGTTGAATCTATTTATTTTCTTCATAAAATTATTTTTGGACGTTAGGAAAACATTATTTGAAGTATTCAAAATAGCAGATGGTATGGCACTGACGTTACTTCAGCTTTCCTGTTAGACTGATTGCTCACCTTTTTTTTTGGCATGCTTTTGTTGGTCAAACCCTTAAACAAGATACTATCTGTTTAATTCCTCGAGGATAATAGAGTAATTTTACACAGGTTCTGAGATTGACCCACTGATATCTAGACTGACTGTCTTTGGTTTATCCTAAAAAATGGTTTTTTTTCAGGTTATTCTTTTGTTCCAGAAGATTGAAGGAGTTGATATATGCCTTTTTGGCATGTATGTACAGGAGTTCGGTTCGGAGTGCAGTCAGCCAAATCATCGTTGTGTTTATATCTCATATCTTGATTCTGTCAAATATTTTAGGCCAGAGGCAGAAACAGCAGTTGGAGAAGCCCTTCGTACATTTGTTTACCATGAAATTTTGGTAACCTTTTCATCTTCAGTTCTCTTTGATTTCTAACAACCTAGATTGTCTATATCTTTATTTATTATCTTTTTCCATCTTCAGATAGGATATCTCGAATACTGTAAGAAACGAGGTTTTGTGGCATGCTACTTATGGGCTTGCCCCCCTTTGAAGGGAGAAGATTATATCTTGTATTGCCACCCAGAGACTCAGAAAACGCCAAAGTCTGACAAGCTGCGACAGTGGTATGTCTCTTGCTTGCTCTCTCTGTAGTTGAATTTTGGCTCACTATTCTTGTAGGAGCATTATTTTGCACTCATCTTAAAGTGGAACCACTTGCTGCCTTTTTTTTTTTTTTTTTTTTTTTCAGAAAACGCCATAGGTCTGAACAAGCTGCTTACAGTGTGTATGTCCTCTCTGCTTGCTCTTCTCTGTAGTTGAATTTTGGCTCAACGTATATTCTGTAGAGCGATTATTTTGCACCTTCATCTAAGTGGAACCACTTGCTGCCGGTTTGTTTTTTTTTTTTTTTTTTGCTCCAATCCCGATAATAGCTATTATACTTTATCGTGCCTTCCTTTTTCCCTCTTGACCTTCTCTGCTTGTGGATGATGTCTTGACTATCAAAACTGGTCCGACATTTAGCAAGGTATCATTCAATTGCTAAGAAAAAGGCATCCGAAGAAAAACATTGCTTGGTTAAGTTTCACGTAATCTATGATGATTCACTTTCCTTTGTTTGCCCTACTGGCATTATACTCCAAGGGTGAACAGAGCTCGTGCCGTATTCTTGAACGGGGACTATTGTCTGAGTGCTGCCCTTGAAAATGTCATAAAAAAATATAGAGCAGCAAGAAATTAGAACATTCAGGGAGGGAGATGAAGAAGAAGTAGATTGAGACAGAGAACTCTAAAGGCCATGGCCATACAAATCCTTGCTGGTGGTGTTCACTAAAGAGTATTCTACGTGATGCCAAACAAAAAAGTAACCTCACTATTTTTTTTTTTTTTTTTTTTTTTGCTCCAATCCCTATAGCTACTATTACTTTATCTGCCTTCCTTTTTCCCTCTTGACCTCTCTGCTTGTGAGCATATGTCTTGACTAATAACTGGTCCACATTTGCAGGTATCATTCAATGCTAAGAAAAGCATCCGAAGAAAACATTGTGGTTAATTTCACTAATCTATATGATCACTTCTTTGTTCCTACTGGGCAATTATACTCCAAGGTAACAGCAGCTCGTTTGCCGTATTTTGACGGGGACTATTGGTCTAGTGCTGCTGAAAATGTCATAAAAAATATAGAGCAGCAAAATGAAGAACATTCAGGGAGGAAGATGAAGAAAGTAATGACAAAGAGAACTCTAAAGGCCATGGGCCATACAAATCCTTCTGGTGGTGTTACTAAAGATATTCTACTGATGCAAAAAGTAACCTCACTAATCCTCTTTTTCTCAGAGTGTGTGTGTCTTCATGTGTGTTTGTCTTCATTTCTTTGTGCAATATTTTTTGGATAAACAATTATTAGGCACTTATCCTTTCATCCAATGTCCCATTAGGCCCAAAATTAATGTTTGGATCGATTTAAGATATTTAAAAGCTAACAGTTGTTCCAAAAGCTGAAATTTCAGTTAAGTTGATCATGAATCAATATTTCCGCCTTAAGCTGATCCACAAAGTTTAACTTTGGGTCTAATTGCACTTCAAGTGAAAGTTCTGCACAGTGGTAGGAGGTGTGTAAATTGAGTGTCTATCCATATTTTTAGTTCAAATGTGCAGTTAGTTATGTTAGATATTTCCATTTACAGTCAAATAGGTTTTTTTGACACGAATCTGCAGAAAAGGACAACGTAAAAAAAATCAATCCAACTTATATTTCTTGCACCTGAACAAATAGCTGGTCGCCGAACTAGCTCTGTGTTTCAATAATCAATAGAAACCATGTGTTGTGTCAATCAGACTTATCAAGGTGAATCATTTAAGGAGCACAATGATTTGGATTCCAAAAATATAACATGCTTAAAAAATTTATTCTGGTCAATGTTGGCTTCTGCTATTAGTCTAGAAGATACAGGATTTTATAGTGATCAATTAGCTTTTTGCATTTCCTGTTCCTGTAATTCTGGAACTGCTCTTTTTCTATCTGGATCTTAAGCCTACTTTTGTTGAAATTATGGATGTTTCTTGAATGACAAACAGATAGATGAACATAGTCGTTATATGCATTTGTCTCTATGCTATATCCTCCGACTTCATGAAACTGGAAGAAGCATAGATGAATTTAGCATATTGAAGTTAGGAGATCATTTTCGTTCTATGTGATTAGATTATTCCCAATGACTGTGATTATATTATTCTCAGTGACTTGTTCTAATTTCTCTCTTTACCTTTATCAGTTAGGGCAAACTATTTCTCCTGTTAAGGAGGACTTCATTGTTGTCCATTTGCAATTTGTTTGCACGTATTGCCACGAAGTTATATTAAATGGATGGCGATGGTGTTGCAGCAGGTGCAAAAATTTTCAGCTATGTGAAAGGTAAGCACACATGCTAATATATTCTCTCTCTTCTTCCCTCCCCTTCTCTTTCAGAAACAAAAAGTTTTTCCATCTATTTGCTGCTCTTTGGTGGTAAAAAATGGAGTTCTTATGGTTGAAACCTGCTTCTTCTCCACATTTTATGCCAAGTAATTGTTGTACATTTCATTGGTATAAATTCTAAAATATTCATTCTCAGGTGTCATAACGTTGAGCGAGGCCGCAATGGGGGAGACACACATACTATAAGTAGCAAAGAAAAGCATTTACTCTCTAAGGTGAATCCCAAAATCAAACTTAAATGATCTGTCTTTGTAAATATGAAGTTGGCACATCTCATTTACATTTAGTTATCTTTTCAGGTTATGGTTGATGATGTTCCATCTGATACCAAGGATGAAGATGTAATTCTGGAGACTTGGTTATTTGAAAATAGGCACATCTTCCTTGGCCTCTGTCAGAAGAATCATTATCAGTTTGACACGCTTCGCCAAGCCAAGCATTCCTCTATGATGATCCTGCATCATCTTCACAACCCAATAATGCCCACCGACAAGATCACCTGCAACATTTGCCTGCAGGATACTTGTACTGGTGACAGTAATGTTTGTGCCACATGCTGTAATAAGAAATTCAGTTCTTCCCGTATTCATAGGTCAGCGTACAACCCTTCTGTACCTAATGGTGAAAATGAGGATAAATATGCACAGCAGAAAATTCTTATGGTAAGAAGAAACTCCCTTGACATTTCTGCATCTAAAGCACTTTTCCAATTTGTTTTATTCCATATATCTGTAAGGTAATTATATCATTATTGTTGGTAATGATGAGTGTAATTTAGAGCACTTCAAAACTTCTATAAATTGATACTATGTTTCAGGAAATTTTAGATTTACCGTGTAATTTGTTGGTGCAGCTGAAGGAACTGCTAAATGTTCTACAGCATGCTGATAAATGCAAAGCAACCAGTAATGATCCTTGCCATTACCCAAACTGCCATCAAATCAAAAGATTGTTCCTCCATGGATCTAAGTGCACCATCCGGCTCAGTGGAGGTTGTAAGATCTGTCAAAAGTTGTGGTACATACTGAGATTGCATTCTAAAACTTGCGAGCAAACAGATTGCAGTATACCTCGCTGCAGGTTAGTACTTGAGACTTCCCATATTCTGTTCTTAAAGTCATGTTCTCCCTAAAATGAAGTCCCAAGTCACCATAGAAATCAAAATCCGTGTTTAAACTATTTGTGCTATATTTGTAGGGATTTGAAGAACCAGAGATTCCTAGGGAAACCGAACACACCAAGTATATAAGATAAGATCAGAAGGATAGTCAACAGTTCACAAGAAGTGTACAGTTTGTCAGGGAAGAGAATCAATTGTACAGTTAGCTGAGTTTTGAAGTTATGAAATGCAAAGCAAAGTTTTGATAGCCAAGTCATAGAAGTAATTTAGCTTTTCTTCTTTTTCGAGGATGGGAATCCTGGAGCTGATAACTGATAAGTAGATATGTTGAAAGTGAGATTTACTGATCGTAGTTTATAGGCAAGTCTTTTAGGCTGATTTAAGTTCTGAGCTTGATGATAATAACACTCATCTCGGGCCTCGGTTAACATGTTTGAGGTGTATAGCTGAACTAGTATCTCACTTCTCCGCTAATGTATAATCTTCTTATTGTATTTTATAGAAAGTAGACCTACATTCTACAAAGGATATAAGCTTGTTTCTAGTTTTTCTTTTCCCGGAAAACTCTAATTGTATAATTTACTTTCTTACAGGACAAAGTGAAAAACAGTTTAATCCCTGTCAATGAACTGAGTCACTGTCACGGTCGTCAAATTCAAAAGATTGCCAAAATGATAAAATAATATTCATCCAATCCCCAAAATTTTTCAAAATTTAATAGTATAATCTTTATATAAAATGAGATGATATTAGATCATTAGAATTTTGTTATGGTTAAATCCTTACATTGATGCCATTAGGATCGCCTAATTTGATTTGGATTGAGTCACAGTTAAAACTCTTTACTCCTCTTTGTAAATGTGTTTGAATCACAGTTAAAACTTTTCACTCCTCTTTGCAAATGTGTTTAAATAGAAATTGAATATAAGAGCTCTTTCCACATGTCCAACTGAAAATATATTGTAATTTTTAGTACTCTTCAAGTAAAAAAAAAAACATGTAGCATCCAACAAAATAAATGAAGAATTAAAACATATAGAATCCAGTCAAACCATCTCAAATTAAATTATTCACCGACACGAGGGCGACAGGTGAAAGATTTTACAAGCTGTCAAAGTTGAAAAAATACAAACATTTTGATACAAACAATTTGGATAATGTGGAAGACAAGTCCAGTGTTTAATATGGCACTGGTCATTGCTACATCAAATCATCTACCATTGTACTAAAACATTAAAACAGGCCCCAAAAATAAAATCCTGAGAATTCTAACCAAAGAAAAGAGAGCTAAGAAAACAAGATCCCTCCACCTGGATTAGGACTTATAGCAAATCATAACTACATTTGATTAGTTAATTAATACACACTACTACACATCAAAGAGCTCCTAAAAAATCTGAAACAATCAATAATCCCATTAAAACCACCCCATCCAAACAAGATTCAGTGTCATCACGTTGTGAAGAAAGTCCATAGCTTCTTGCCAATTGAAACTTCACCGGGATGCTGAGACTCGTCTTCATCATCATCATCATCATCCTCATCACCATCATCTTCTCTACGTGACTCGCTCCAATGCTTGTCTGTCACGTCATACTCCCTACCCCCTTCAGGAGTGCCATTTACCTCCTCACTTAGTGCAGCATTGCCAACCAAGTTTCTGGTCGTATCATCATCCTGATTGTCTGAGACCTTCTCCATCTGACAAAACAAAATTAAATTTCAAAATCTGGATTATATTTTGTGTGTTACCACAGCACTGCCACCAGACAATCTGAACCAATCAGAAACCACTAAACATTGCTATATTGCAGAATACAGTCCTATAACCGATATGTCGACTCAAGTCGTATTGCAATATTTTTTTTTACAGCACTCACCTGTACAAAGTGTGCGCTTCCACCATTCTCACTAGCAATCCCGATTGAAGTTGGATCCTTGACACCATCATCTTCCTTATTTCCGCCATTGATCTCTGATAAGGCTTTATCAGTTACAACTGTGACTCCGCTGGTTGCATGAGACACAAATTCATGAATTAGCAATGCTAGAAAAAGTTGTATAACAACTTACAATTAATAATTATAGTGTGGGCACGTCAGTCAAGCGAATGCATGTGTTTTCATTTCAAAGGATCCAGAAAATTTTTCAAATGGCACTTCCTCGGACAGCACCTCTGCTATATAACACCAAACATTTTGGGTTGTTGAACACATGCAGCACCTATAATCTTTGTTTTGGCAGGGCCAATGCTCTGTTATTACCCCTTCTAAACATTTTTTTACGTAAATAGCTAATTGTGAATTGAGAACTTACCGTTTAGGCCGTCGAAGGTTATACCGCTTTTTGCCTGGAGCTTGCACAGTGGCAACTTTTTCTTGCCTCTTCCTTCGCTTCCCAGCTGTGACACTATCTGAGCGGCCCTCACTGTCATCACCATCATGCTCGCTTACTGTGTTTTGGGATGTTGGATTACGGTTACGTTTCCGGGCATTTCTTGGAATTCCTTTATCCATGAGACTAGACTCGTCGCGGCTTTCAGCTTTCAGATGGCTAGAATCTTCAGTCTCATTTGGCTCAAAAGATTCACCAAGTATAGCCTTCGCATCTTGCACAACTGCCTTCACTGAGCGTGTTCTACTAATTCTAGGCCTGCCTCTCTTATGAGCCTGGCGGCCTCGCTTTAAATCAGAAGCCTGAGAGACTTCCTGAACATCCGGTGCCTCACTGTTAATATTGCTCTGGTCATCAACTGACAAATCCTGGGTACCTTGAGCCTCTCTGATGTTAGAATCAGACTCAATCCTCTGGACATCCAATGTAGTATTTTCAATCGCAAAAGATAAGTCTTGTTCATTTGCTGTGGATTCTAATCTTTTTGATTCTTCTTCCATGTTCTCAGCAGGCAGAGACATCCCCTCAGTCAGATTTCGTATAGCAGCAGACTCAATCTTTTTACCAGGGGAAAAGCTAAAAATCTTTGATGTACATTTCCGGAGCCAAGAAACTGGAGATACTGAGTGAACTGCATTTGGGGATATATCAATATCTTGCCTTGCATCAACCTCAAGATTTTGATTATCATCTGCTGTCGAGTCATTATTAACTAATTGTTGCTTGGGAAGGATCTCTTCATTCTCAATTTCTTTAGAAGATATTAAATCAGAAAGCACAAACTCAGAAGTTATTTCACCACAGTTCTTACAATTCTTGTGTTGCTCAACAAATAAAATGAAGCGCTCTTTCTCTTTAATAAACTGTTCTCTATGATCTTTCAATTTCCTGCTAAGATCACCAAGCTTATCAATATCTTCTCGCATTTCAAGTTGTTGCTCTTGAAGATGCTTTTTATTTGCTACAATTTCTTGTCTTTCTTTTTCTAATGTAAGCCTTTCCAATTTCATTTCTTCCATTTCTCTTCTAGCTAGATCTCTTAAGAAGTTAATGTTGTTTAGTTCTCTCTCCTTCTCTTCTTCGAACAATTTGCTCTTCTCATGCAAAATTTTTTCCATCTCCTCTCGTCTTTTCTGCAAATCACTCTCAAGTTGACTCTTCTGAAGCTCAAACTCATGCAGCATTTGCTTTCTCTCACTTTGAGATTTCTCAGCTATAGCAGAACGTTCGTGTTCCATTTTCACCTCAAAAGATTCTTTGGCAATTTCAAGAGCTTCCAGCTCCCTTTTTACAGTGTCTTCCACTGCCTGTTTTTCATTTTTTATTCTTTCTTCTTCTGAGGCTTTCTGCTTTTCAAATTTATCCTTCTGCTCACTGATGCTCCTGAGCTCTTTCTCAATCATAACCCTTTTCTCATCCAGATCATCCCATTCTCTCTCAAAATTCTCTTTTTGCTGCTTCAAATCTTCGACCTCCTTCAAGAGCAGCTCCTCCTGAAGCCTGCACTTTTTTATCTCTTCCTTTAGTTCGGATTGCAAGCGAACATGCTCAGCCCTCTCTTCTTCATTTACTTTGAGCCGTTCCTTCTCCTCATGAATCTTCAGTAGCTGTTCTTCATTGGCAGCTCTTATCTTCTCAAGTTCAGTCTTGAGATTCAGAAAATTTTCTTTATCAGAACTCAGTTCCCTTCTCTCTGTCTCCAATTTCTTTTCCTCAGATCTGATAGTCTTCTCCCTTTCCTTTAGAACTTTTGATTTCAACTCAAAGTCTCTCTCTTTTTCCTTAAGCTTGTCCAATCTTTTATCCAGTGCTTGCTCTCTTTTTAGAATTTTCTCCTCCATGTGTTTGATTTCAGCTTCCTTCTTCTCCACTTCAACCATCTTGCTTTTCAGTTCCTCATCCAGAGATTTCCTCTTTTGGTCAGCTTCTAACTCAAATTCACGCTTTTTTTCATCTAAAATTGCATTATGCTCATCAATGAGCTTCTGAATCTCAACCTGTAGATTTCACATGCAAAGAAACAATAACTAATGAATGAGAATTACAGTAAGCTAGGAAAAAACAAACTACTTACAGCTCCATTATTCATTAATGATTACACAGCATAATTATAAACCAAGAAAACATCCATGCATAAGGACTTGAGTGTACATTCAAAAAAGGATAGGGAAAATATTCAGGATAAGTTTTCTTCCCCCTGTGGGGCAGCCTCAAAAAAGAAGGCTAAAAGAAGGACTTGAGTGTACATAAGGAAACATCCATTATTCATTAATGATTACACAGCATAATTATAAACCAAGAAAACATCCATGCATAAGGACTTGAGTGTACATTCAAAAAAAGGATAGGGAAAATATTCAGGATAAGTTTTATTCCCCCAGTGGAGCAGCCTCAAAAAAGAAGGCTAAAAGAAGGGGACAAATCCTTGACATAGCATACTTCTTTTTAAGTAGAATAGTACCATGCATAATACATGAAGTCTGTTATAAAAACCCAAGCATGTAAAAGAACAAAACAAAATGAATGTATCAAGCAGATGGGAAACATGAGCTTATCACAAGAGAAAAGGCTTGCAAATTTTCACACATCCATACATATCCCGTCAAAACAGAAATTGAAAAGACCCACTTTTTCTCTATCATTTAGCTTTTCTTCTAATTTGCACAACTCTTCCTCTTTCACCTCTAATTTCTTTCTAGTAGCATCGAATTCCTGCATATACCGAAAATATCATAAATATCACATTAGTTAAAGGATGAAAAACTCCACAGTATGAGAAAAAAAAATGCACCTTTTCTTTTAGAGTTAGATTAGCCAGCCTGCTGCTCATTTCATTTTCTTTCCTTTTCAAGGTTGAGTTTGCTTCATCAATCTTCTTCTGAGCCTCTTCAAGGTCCTTCTCCTTTTGCTTAAAGATCCTATCATTCTCATTTGCCCTCTCCTCTCTTTGGTTGATAATTCTTTGACCTTTGGATAGCCTCTCTTCCCCCTCTTGTAATTTTCTTTCCCATTCTCGCAAGTCCTCTCTTTGCCTAGAGAAAGCAGACTCATGTGCCTCTCTCCTGAGAAATGTAACCAGTTAAAATTGTCAAACAATAAAACAATCTGAACTTCAACAACAGTAGACACAATTATCGAAGGAAAAGTAGCATCTGAAGTAACATAGCAATGATCATTGAGAATACTCTGTGATGAAGGACAAGCGCTCCCTTCGAAGAGCACTTTCTCGGGATTCCACCTCCTGTGATTTCCTATCAATCTCCGAACTCTTTCTACTAACTTCAGCAAGACGAGCATCAACAGCACGCAATTTTGCCTCGACTTCTAGAGATTTCTCTTCAACACTAGTGATCAAAGCATTTGCTTCAGCCAATTTTGAATCGGCTGTAAATTTAAGTTCTGCATTTTCCGCACGCATCTCACACACTGCTTTCTCCAACTGCAGCACCCAACATCTCCAGAAATTATTTAAAGAATCATATTGTTCAGAGAAACTAGATTAATGTTTCACAGTAAATTGTGAGGAAGACAGAATATGGAAGAAGCTGAAATAAAAGGGACAACTATGCATGTAATTCAATCAAATAAAAATATAAACTAAGAATGCATTGTTTGATAAAAAGAACTAAAAAACATATTTTAGTAAATTTAATAGTCCAAATTTTTTTCAGATTCCATTGTGAAACTTTACACAAAAATTATAAAAATGAAAGAATGAACAATAAAAGAATAAGTTAGAATAGCATATTTATTGGATTAAAAAGTTAAAGAGACATTCTTAGAAAACATATATATAGGCATAAACGCTATATGTTTAGTATGCCATCCATGTACAAGTTATGGTATTTTAAACACCAACTTTCATGTAGAGTATCACATGTGAAATGTTGGGTATAAATATTTTTTTAGTTAGATTTAAATTAAGCGTTTTATATTATAATTATACAGTTTATATTATTACAAAATTCAAAAAATACTCACAGCACATGCACATTGAGCTTGTTTAATATACAGTACATTTTAAAGAGTTCTTTAAATGAAAAACCTACAAATATCCAATTACCTTGACATACATTATCTAAATGAATATATTATCAAATCCAAAGGTCAAAATACGACCCTTTAGCGAAAAAATTCTTTCAATGCAAATTTAAAGAAGAGGAAATCATGTCAGTAATGAGACTTCCTCCGACTCTAGTGTTCTAGAGGTTAAGATTGATGTTTATGCAGTATATTCTCATTATATAAAATATTAATGTGTTTGTCTATAAGAATTAAAAAAAAAAAAAAACACAAATCTTACATCAAGCACACACTGTTTCTCAACACCCAAGGCCTTCCTCAAATTCTCTTCTCGCCTCTCAGCATCAGAGATTGCAATCAAATGTGCTGCTTGTTCTCGTTTCAATGATTCTGTAGCTTCTGAAATTGCTTGCTTGAGTTCTTCAAACTTAGAACCCCACTCCTTCTTCTCAATCAACAGAAGTCCCATATTATACTGATAGTCAAACAGCTGGGACATAAGATGGCAGATCACATTAGCACCACAATATAAACACAATAAACTCACTCTCAATAGAAATAGACACTAAAAACATTAAGAAAAAATCCCTAAACTCTAAAATGCATAAAATAAATAATATGTAAAGACAGTAACACTGCAGATGACAATAATAACAATATCAAGTTCCTTTGTCTGAGATAAAAATAAATCTCTATGCATCCATTGCTTACATCTGTAACTTCAGTCATTGCTTCCAGTCATGTGATTTTGCAGCTCAAATCCACGTTAATAGAGGTTTAAACAATTTTCTAATCAGCACATACTTTTTATAAGAAGGCCGACTGCTATACACCATCAGATTTCTAAGTAGCATGAGGTCGGCCAGTGAGACGATGGGGATAAGCTTCATTGTCAAGAGGAAAACAGCCTGGATCACCACCTAACCTAGCTAGGTTAAGAGATAATTAAGCATGCCATGACGTTGCTAGGATCTCATATAGACCCCACACCTGTAACTTCTTAAATTCCTCGGGTTTAAGTCATTTTTCAGTGACTGTTTTCTCTTAGAGTTCCCTATTTGGGAGCTTCAATCCTTGTAGAACAAGGAGAAACGTCCAAGATTTATACAGGAAAAAATGTATAGAAAATTCTACATTCAGTTCAAGTTAATGCTAAGCTAGTTGATTTACGTCTCCTCTTACTCTGTGATTCTATGTTATTTTGGATGGCTCAGATTATACTTTGAAAGGCCAAGATCGGGTTTTATGATGGTTTGAAGATGCAATAGGGCTTGATGGTAAGATTTGAGAATAGACCTGGCCATTTATTTTCCTTGTTCTGTAAACAGAAATCTTGATTGATCTTTTGATCTCTTTATTTTATTCTATCAATATTCTCTTACCTGCTCTACCATCAAATGAGAGTTAAGGTTAGCTTTCACCAAAGAATCTCATGAGCTTGGATACTGGATTCTCAAATGACATTGAGAAGACCTTCATACATACTCATGGTCCCTCTTCTCCTTCTCTGTTTACACCTTATGTGATCTTACCTTTCATTCCTCCAGTTTCTGTTTAATATTTTGCATTAACTACTTATTTCTGGCTGCAGAAAGAGTGGCCACCTCTTCTGAATAAGAAGACTAACTTTTCTTTTGCCATCAGACTTCATTATTCTCCAAAAAAATCGAAAGCCTAAGAATCTATAGTTTTATACACTCCTCATTCGTTTAAAAACCTAATTAACCAAGCCTAAGTCACAGCAAGCACCAATTAAAAAATTGGTCAAAAATTTTCATTTATCAACTACCCATTAAATGAATGAGGCTTCTCATGCACTGTATACTGCTGCCCCAGAAAATGCATAGTGATAAACATTAAACATGGAACCTATTACAATCAAAAAGTTTGATGGGCAGCCAAAAAACATCAACGACGTTAAAGCAATTTGATCATCTTTGTGTTTCTTCAACAGAGTAATTTGGTTGCGAGCAAACATCCAAAGTAACCTATTAATCCACTCATAAAGACTTTCGCACACCCACACTCATGAAATAAACATTGAAAAAAGCTTTTGATATTACTGCGTTCATGTATAATTTTAATGGAGGACCGAAGAACACTTGGTGTAATATCCAGATGTTATAGAGAACATAACGGTTTCTTCCAATCCTCACTTTGCATAAAATATCCATGTAGGAGAACACTTGAGCATGGGGATGAAACTTGGCATGTCAAAAAAGCTGTATATGCTAAAGGAGAACTAGAAAAAAGCCATATTAATTGCCAGCGCTAGGAATGCACCCATATCTGGTACTCACAAAAGAGTCCAAGTAACTTTGACAGCAGTCATAATTTAGTCAAAACCCACTAAATCGTGGTTTGATGACGATGGTAGCACAAGAATTTACTATCTTCATCTGTACTCTTGTTCTCAGTTTTGCTATTCTGATAAAAACCAAGCTCAGTCCGAATCTACTTGTAGCCGGCTACTTAAAAGCACCAATTATACCCATTTACACAAAGAAAACAAAAATCTATAACCACTAAAAATTTTTAAAAAATAGAACTTTAAACAACATCAAGAATTCATCCACAAATGATGTGAGTTTCGTTTTTTGAAAAAAAAAAAAAAAAAAAAGGAAGGGGGAAAGTTACTGACCTCTTTTTCGAGCTTGGAAATCTTCAGTGCCAATCCATCATCATCATTCAAGGCAAAACCCACGCCATTGGGTGTCACCGGCTCAGGAAAAGCCACACTCTTCCCTTTCAAAACACTCCCATCGCCAGAATTCAGGACACTTGGGCCGTTAGCATTCGTATTCGGATCCGACCCGACTCCACTCTTCTGGTTCTCGCTCCGTGGCATGGGCGACCAGCCTGACCACACTTTCCTTTGCGGTGTAAACATCACGAGACGCTCCACAATTGCCTATCAACTATCCCCAAATCTGAAGATCCCAAATTCAACCTCATAAGAAACCTAAAAACCCCTAATATCTTGAAATTCAATACCACAACCACCAAAAAAAAAACTCCAAGTTAGAACAGTCAAGAAGCAAATATTACATAGAAAAATATACGAGAATTGGCAGTTCACAAATTCCAAAGAATCCGTGTAATTTTCAAATCCGTTAATTAACGCTCTTGAGATTTTCCACAGAATTTCAAAACCCTAGACCGGACATGAACCGGGTTCCCAAAATCCGGCTGAATGTGGATTTGGAGTCCGATAACGTCTACAAACGAACTTTTCTCTCCGTTCTCTCTCTTTTCAGCCCACACTTTTGTGTGTGTCTGTGCTGTGTGCGAGTGAGCGGATCACTAACGTTACCTCTTTTTTTTTGTTATTTTATTCGTGGGTCCCATCACTCACTAATTCCAGCTATGAAAATACCATTTTATCCTCCATTATTTTTTTTTTTTTTTGGCAAAATGCCAGAATTTCATTACAACAACAATGACTTTTTTTTTTCAACTTAAAAATTAAAATAATCTAAAGTGGTAATGTATGTATTTTAGTTGGAATAAAATAAGAGCATAACATCTTGAGTTATTATAAACTTAATATTAGAATTATTAAAATTTTCAATTGAGCTTGTGAAATTCATATTTAACAATTTTATAATGACCGAAGGTTAATTTAATTAATTTTATTAATTAAAAATATAAATTTTAAATTATTCATTCAATAAAAACTATGCAATATGGATACACGGATTGAATATATGATATATTTCTTCACAAAATCAATTTTATGAAGGTACAATTTTAATGTAATATATATTTTAAATTTAAAAAAAAATAAGGGATGTGATGGAATTTTTAAAAGGCTTTGGAGTTAATTTATGCACTAAGGGTACTTTGGAGATTTAAAGGGTGACTTTTCCGGATAAGGAATATGGGATGACAGAAATGCCCTATGAAAATTGGAGGACTATAAGAAGAAGAGGCGGCGGGCAGGGAAGGGCATTTTGGAGAAAAAAAGAAAGGTTAGGAATATAGTAAGATGCTGCTGGCATCGAAATGCCACGGTGTTAAGGAAGAGAAGGAGATGGTTTTTTGTGTTGGTTGGTCGGTGTCATAGAAGATAAGTATGTTGTGTCCCATGTGGGGCTTTGATCATCATGTACATGTATGCGCTCACTTCTTCTCTCTCTCCCTTTCGGTCTTTACCAAAGTGGGAGTCTCTCTCTCTCTCTCTCTCTCGGAAAATGTTATGTCATGATGGTTGAAAAAAAGAATTCGGCTTTGAGAGAGCCATTTTTTGAATTTCTAGTCTCTTTTGGTCTTTATTGCCAGAGTTGGATTTAATTTTCAATGTATTAGTATAAGAAAATAACTAAAAAATTGGAATGCTTTCGATTTCACAAAATTTAACGAAATTTATTTATAAATTCAAATATTTATATTTGATATTAAAAAATAAAAAAAAATTCTATGAATTTAATATAATTAAATCAAATTCTAAAAAAAATTAGAATTTTTAAATAAATTTCTCAAACTTAAAGCATCTCCAATGTTAATGTAGATTTATGTCTTATATGAAATATAATGCGTTAATGTAATATGGTTGAATGTCTATTTATAGATGTTGAATTTTAAAAAATTTGTCTCCAATGCACTATTTTTAGATTTTTTTTGTATCCTCTTTCTTCTTTTATTTTATAGGTCTACAATTTAATATAGAGCAATAATGCTCACGTTGTTGAAGAACCCTCTAGAAATAAAAAGTGTGAAAATCATTTTTTAAAAAATCTTTGCATTTTTCTATGTGAAAATTTAAATAAGAGCAATTCATATTAACATTGGAGATGCTCTTAACGACTTAAAACAGCTAAAATTTTATGACTAAACTCTTCATTCTCCTAACCTTCTAAAATTATTATGTCAATGGTATTTTAAGAATAAAAACAAATGAATTTTCAATTTTCGAGTTTATTTCAAACATGAAAAACTTATTTACAAATCAATTTTAGAAATGAATTCCACATGTTTTAAGAATAAAAGCAAATGAATTTTCAATTTTTAAATTTATTTCAAACATGAAAAATTCATTTACAAATAAATTTCACATATCTTAAGAATAAAAGTACATAAATAAATGAATTTTCAATTTTCAAATTTATTTCAAATATGAAAAATTTATTTACAAACGAGTTCTAGAAATGAATTCCTTATTTTGAGTTGATTTATACCCGATGGAAGTTGAAATTTTCATTTTTTTTGCTTTACACATTTAACTTATTAAAAAGTTAAAAAGAATATTTACTTTTTTTTTAAGCTCTTGCTTTTTTTGTTAGCTCTTTCTTCAATTTGAAGTATTTCACCGGTTTAAAATATTATCATGTTATCAGATTCTTAGTAAGATGGATGGTACGTATGGTTTATAATATTATGTCATACACATAAAAAAAAAAATAATAGAAAGATAATTTATTTCTTAGAATTTAGAACTTTCCAAAGAAAGATAAGAAGCAAAATGCTCGTGAAGTTAACTTGGACATGTTACATTTTGATTGGTTAGCTTTGCAAAAGGAAAAGAAGATTAGTTAAATCACATTTAGAACTAGTGTGAAACACGTGAAAGGGTCCAATAATTAAACTTTGAGTGAAAAAATTGCAAATAATTGATATAATTATATACTAAAAAAGTGTAATTATTATTAGATATTTGGGTTTTGAATAATTTTTTAATTTCATGATATTGAACGAATACTTTCCCTTTTTTCTTCCATCATTGATCAAGACTCAAAGTTAAATTCAAATAGTTGTTAATATGATTACTAAAAATATACTTATTTTTAGAAATCATTATATGCAAACGTCTTTCTAGACCACACTTTTTTTTTTCGAAGACATATAGTAGAATTAAATGAACTAAAAGGAAATATGAACAAAAGAAAACTAAGTGATGAGCTTGATAATATTGATAAAGATCTTCAAAGTGATTAGATAACAATTTGGATATTCTATACCTAGCATAATAGAAAATCATTGTGTACGTGTTTCTTAATTCAATGATCACATGTAGTTATCATTATCGATTAACTCTACTCTCTACTTACCATCAATCATTGGTTATCGCTAAATTCTACCATCCACAGGACGGAGTTAGGATAATTATTTTGGAGAAACCAAATGAATTTTTTTTTTTTTTTTTTTTTGAAATATAGTAATATTACTTTTTAAAATATAGTTTTTAGTTAGAATGTTCCGGTGACTTTAAGATTTAAATAATATCATTATTGTATTATACTTTTCTTGTGCCCTTTTTTATTAATATGCTTGGTGTTTTTAATTTTACTATATATATATATATATATATATATATACTGTGTTGATCCAATATGTTATATGTTATTTGGTATATGTATATATTTATTATGTATATAATCGATTTTACTGTATTTACTATTATTGTTGCTGCAATCGCCGATTGTCAGTTGCGTTATCGGTCATCGTTGTCGTGGTTGAAAATATCAAATTAAAAAGATAGGGGATAATAAAGAGAGGGGATAATAAAGTTAGAAAAATTAAAAAGATGACACTTTATGTAATTCAATGTAATAATAAAAGGTATTTAAGTATTCCAAAAGAGTATTTAGGTCTTTTTATTACAAATTAACGGTAGATTTTTAAAATTTAATGGAAATACTATAGCGTAGAATAAAGCGAAAAAATTGCCTTTGGAGATACCACTGCAGCCAAAAAGCGAAAAACCTCCAAGTATGGGCTATTCTTCGTATATCGTGGCTTGGGTTATTAAGAAATGCAGAGAAATCAAAGCACCCAAAATCATCAAAGGTGATCCAGACGCCAAAACCACTAACCTGAAAATATTTTTAACAAAAAAATCATTAAATTATAACTGACTCCTAATATTGTTTTTGATTCTCATCCGAAAATCAAAAGAATTAATCTAAAAAAATAATTATTTATTTGATGTTTTTATATAAAGAAACGCAAATTGCCATCGAAGAAGATATGATCTGCGAAAGCAGAGATCAGTTTGTGAATTTTATTTGCCATCTTATCACAAATTGAATCAACGATTTGAGGAAGAATAATAGAGGAAAAAAAAAAAAAAGAAAAGAAGATGAAAGATGTGAGAAAATAAAAAATTTTAAATAAATAAAAAATACAAATTAATGGTAAAAAATTTTATAAAATGGACGGAATTACAAATATAATATATGGGGAGAAAATAATGTATTTCAAAAAAAAAAGGATCAAATAATGGATGATGACATTAAGGAAGGAATAGTAATTTTCACTTCTCCCTTAAAAGAAATTGTTTCTTTCTTTGCAGGAATCGAAACGCAGCGAAGCAAACGTCAAACGTGGATTGGAATTTCTGAAATGTTGCGATCTGAAAATGTTACGAATCTTCGTTTCTGATCTACTGTCAAATAAAGAAAAGCACAGATCCAAAACCCAAATTAACTCAAAAACCCTTGATAAAAGAAAATAATTCCCACATTCCCCTCTCCATCTCTACTTTTTTTTTCGCTTATTATCTCTCTCACTCTCCGTTCCTCCTTGGAATTAGAATTAGCAGTCAAAGAATGGGAGTTCCTGTGATCAAATTCCCAATTTTTACAGTAGTCAGGTTTTTGGGTTTTTTGGTGACGGCTCTGGTGCTGACATGGTCGGTGCATTATAGAGGAGGATTGGCTCTTGTCTCCGATAACAAAGATCTAATCTTCAATGTAATTTGAAAAAGTTTTCAAATTATGATATCATTTTAATAAGTTTGTATCTTCAAAGTTATAAATTTTCCTAGTATATAAGATTTTGTGGCTTCTGTTTCTGGTTTTAGTGTTTGGAGAACTCAAATTTAGTCTGTTGTTGTTGTCTCTTTTAGGTCCATCCTGTTTTAATGGTGATTGGGCTTATCCTCATGAATGGCGAAGGTAAGTGACCTCTTTCTGCTTTTAGATATAAATTTGGATAATTTAAATGAGATTTTTGAATCTTAACAAAAACTTTGATGCCACGTTAACTTTTCTTGGAAATGCTTCGTTTTATAGTGCAAGAATATGGAAGAGAAGCTATTTGTAATACTCTTTTTCTTTTCACTTGTTATGTGTTTTACAATATTTGAGTACTCGTAGAGAAAAACACAAAAAGAAATGACTTATCAATGTATTCTCTTACATTATGAATTTCTACTATAAAATAAGCTAGTCTGTTAAGAATTTTCAGAGAGGGATTAACATAATAAGTTCTGTTCTTTGTTGTTGTAATGTGGTGATATATTGCCAGGACAATTTTGAATGGATGAGTTAGGTTTTGTGCTAGTGTTTATTTTGGTACTAGGATAATCCATGTAAACTTTTAAATTTAATATACATGCATGGTTGTATGATTCTTTGATGCTTCTCTAGCTTAATCCTAATATCTGAAGCTGAACTTTTTGACTTAGTAGATAATGAGAATATGGGATTCTTATATATTCTACATTTGTTAAGAGTTGAAATGGGAAAACTACTTTCTGATAGATTAATGAGTTTGCTTTGCCTCCTACGAGGTTAGAGAAAGTTGAGATGTTTTGGTTTGAGGGAAACAAAACAATTTCCAGGGTATAATTATTACCTTTTGTAGAACTATTGTGCTAATATGCAACACATTGTAGTCGACGCATCATGGGAAATTAATGAGTTGTAAAATATTTTGACGAATTGTAAAAGAATTGGTATCTACTAGACAAAAAAAGAAATTAGCAATTGATAAAATCAAATAGACTTATAACATACGTTCTCAATGCAAATGGTGAAATTATTTTATAGATGCCACAATCCTGGATGACCCAATGCTGATCTATGAGAATTAAATTACTTTTCAATTAATATTTATGAATTAGAGACATGGCTTTATGAAAGCTAAATTTGGATTTGAACTAGGTTGTTACCAATGTAATGTTAATGTTTCTGAATATTGGTTTAAATGTGTGTTATGGAATGTTGCAGCCATGCTAGCATACAAGACTGTTCAGGGAACAAAAAACTTCAAAAAATTAGTTCATCTTACGCTACAGCTCCTCGCTTTTTCTTTAAGCTTGATTGGTGTATGGGCTGCTTTGAAATTCCACAATGATAAAGGCATTGACAATTTTTACAGCTTACATTCTTGGTTGGGTCTAGCTTGCCTTTTCCTCTTTGGCATCCAGGTCTTTTTAATATTTCATTTTCTTTTCAGTGACCTAATGCTTTTTCTCTTGAAGCCGACTATTTCTCACAATCATTTCTTTTTTACAGTGGGCTTCAGCATTTGTAACCTACTGGTACCCCGGTGGCTCAAGAAATAGCAGAGCAACCTTGCTTCCTTGGCATGTATTCTTTGGGGTTTATATTTATGCCCTGGCTGTTGCTACTGCTACTACTGGCATCTTAGAAAAAGCCACATTCCTCCAAACCAACAAGGTAATATCACGCTATTCTACCGAAGCATTGCTAGTGAACTCGTTGGGTGTCTTGATCATTGTTTTAGGTGGTTTTGTTGTTCTTGCAACAATCACTCCTTTGCGCGCCAAAGAAGACATCACCAGAAATGCAACAGAATAGGCACAGTATGTATATTTGATATTTCCATTAAAATGATCATTGACCGAAAGGTGTATTCTTACTCCATGTGATTCATAGGGCTTATTCTTGCTGATGATGAAATAGATCATAGAAAACTTGTAATTGGAAACTCTATTTGAATGATTGGAAAGAGATGATTACTTTAAAGTTAGGTTTCAGTGGTTTTGGCTGTTTCAAAATCTCAACCATTACTTTCTCCAGTTTCTTGGGTTGGCAGTTTGGCATAGACTATAGAGGGAGAGTTCACCATTAGGTAGCTTATTAAACCAAAATATCCTTTTTTTAATGAAGATGAATGATGTTTTATCTAAAACTAGCATTATACCTAGTGCAAAGTGCAGATTTATATGTTATTTATTTTGTGAATTACGATTTAGTCCCTGTCTTATAGTGAAGTGAAGTACGCTAATTAGGATTTGTTTTAAAAAATCAATTTAAATAGTTCTTCTGTTTTAACTTTGTCAAACCGTTACAAGCTTTTGTTAAATTTTTATATTAAATAGTTTTGAACTTCAATTTACTCTTTAGTCTGAGTTGTTATTTAATTCTTATATTATGACATATTAAAAATTAATTTTATATTTTATTATTTCTAAGTATATGGTCCTTTTGCTATTTTGCTAATTTTCCAATTCTGAAGTTGAAAAAAAAAAAAAACAGAGAAGAGTAATATGAAAAACTACCAAGTAATTTTTTAAACACAAAATTGCGCTTATTGATTTTTTTTTTTTTGACTTATTTTTGGTTGGTTAACATAAAAATTAAATAAATGTAATAGGAGCATATAGTAAGTGATAATGAAATATAAGAACCATTAGATTAATATTTAAAAATAGAAGTCTACTCATTGTTCCGCAAGGCAATCTTTTTCAAAAAAGATGTGGAAACAGCATATTCTGCCGAAGGTGAAGCATTTCACTCATAAAGCATGTTCTTGTCGAGTGCCAAGCTCTGGATGTTGTGCCCGCTGAGATTGCTGAGATCAATTTGTTCAAGAAGGATTCACAGCATGGCTAATTCAGAAATTGTAGGACCTGAATACACCTCAAGTTGAGATTCTGTCAACGATGGCGGATATGGTTACTCAATACACGTCTCCAAGGATTGCATTCAGGATTCCACTCGCAGGAGGCTATTTCAAGATCAATTCCGACATTTCAATATCAGATCACCTGTGATGTGGATTTGGTATGGTTACAAGGATGAAATTTATGGCAGCAGCCAGCAGAGGCTCTCAAACTCTCAACTCAGCTGAGTCCAGAAGAAGTTGAAAGAGCAGTACTTCTTTCTTTTTGTAGTTCTTCTATTTGTTTACATGTCTCTAAATTAGGTAACAAAGTGTCTCATGACCTTGCTCAAAAAGCTCTGCATTCGCGTTGAGGAGCTCATTTGAATAGAAGAAGTTCCCTTCCCACTATAATATTTCATCAGTTTATTCTAAAAAACAAAAAAGTTAGAAGTCTACTAGTATAAAAGTTTGGAGTATCTTATAACACGGGCTAAGTGGTAATTCAATAATAAAAATTAGGAAACGCTTCCGTTGTACTTTGGCCGAGTTTCAAGTTCCGCTAAGCATAAATTGTTCGAACAAATATTTAATACGGTATACTTAATTTTAGTAATTATATATTTATGAATATAATCCAACAATATTTTTATTTCATTCATTATAATTTAATATATAATACGGATTTAATATATACTGTTTATGCAAATAAATCTATTAGCAGCTTTTTGCAATTGATCCATCAAAAGGCCAGTGTTAAAGGCTATTTTTTTATTTTTTTTATACAATATTTAATAATGCGAATTAAATTTTAGAGATTAATATAATTTTTTATAAAAAAATAAGGTAACATTAATTAATAATTATTAAAATAGTCAATTTTCTCGAATAGATCCTAATTAGTGATAAACTGATTTTATTTGCCGAACTCTATTCGGACCGAACCATCTACGGGTGCTCTTTTAGGTTCTTGCTTGAACGCAAAGCCAGTTCATAGAGAATAGAAGGCAGCTCATATAGAGAAACACAATAAAAGCAGTTTCACAGGAAGAGAAAGAAGAAGAACAAGTATTGGGAAGAATGGAAGCGCCAAAATCAATTGCTCATGAAATCGGGGGCATCCAAAACGATGCTCTTCGATTCGGCCTTCATGGCGTCAAGAGCGACCTCGTCGGAGCTCACCCTCTCCAAACAGCCTACCAATCGGTAACTACTTTACTTTCGCTTATTCTAAAACCTTTTACTCATTCAGTAGCAACCGAAAGAATTTTTCTCTTTTTAGTTCAAACTGATCTGAGTTTTTCTCCGTTGGGGGTTTTAGTCCAGGAAAACCCAAGAGGAGATGAATAGAAAAATCCTTGCAAACACGTATGGGTCAGCCTTCCCGTTGAAGATGGATCTTGATAGGCAAATTCTTTCCCGGTATGTATTTTGGCTGCAGGATTTTATGATAAATGAAATTACAACTTGTTTTTTAATGATAATTTTCGTTGTTTTTTAATTTGTTGCTTATTTATTAGAAAAGGTGAACAAATTAGAAAAGGGTTTTAGGTATTCCCATTTAAAACCACATTTTATTATCGATGGATCTGTTCGTTGGAATTCAACTGCTGTGATTTTGATATTTTAGCTGCCCGTAATAATGTCAAAGGTAAAAGCGGATACTTTCTGTTTTTGTTGGAGTTTTAAGGTATTTGTGGTCTATTTGTATGGAACTCGATTGATTAGTTTTAAGTTATTTGTGGTCCATTTGTGTAGAAGCAAAATTGAATTTTTCAAAGTTTTCAGATGGAAAGTAATTGAGAATGAACAATCTAGGGTTAAATTGGATTCTTTCTTTTCTTTTCTTTTCTAACTTGGAAGAACTCTCTTTTCAAAAGGAAAAACTGATACTAAAGTAATTAGCCTAGACTCCTTAATAAGTCGAGAATGAACAATCAATTAATCCGGAAGATCAAATTGGAATTTTAGAAGTAGCTGCACCTAGTTTTTGGTGATAAATTTTTATCAGAATATGGAACTTTAAAATAACTCATTACCTAATTGTTTGGAATTATTTTCTTCTTTTCTAACTTGGAAGAACTCACTCATATAATGCATACAAAGATCAAAACGTTTCCAACTCTTAATTGGTGCTAAAATGGAGCAATGTGGAATCAGAGAGTCATGTTTGGAGATGTTTACATCTTAGTGGTTAGATTTTTCTCCTAAGAGAGTAGGGATAACTTGGAGACATTATGTTCATGTTTATGTTCATTTATATCTGGTTATTCATCCCAATGTTTTTCTCAACTCTCTTGTTGTTCCTAAAAAGGAACCATTTGTGATCATTAAATCAGTAAATCAGTTCCAAATATGTTTGTTTTGATGTTATTTTGATGCATCTGAACCTCTTATGCAAGCAAATAGGCATTCATTTGGAGGTAAGGATGTCCTGGTGATACATGTTGATGGCAGATAAGGCTATCCATCTGAATAATATTCTTTCATCTTTTTGTTTGTACTGAGAGGGAACCCTGTGGGATTATGGAGGCATATCATGTTAAACATTTTTCACGTTATCTTGTTGTAACTGGACATGTCTGATATGAGAACTGAACTTTACTCGCCAAAGTAAGTAGGGTTTATTTGGAGGTGTTATTTATGCATGTCTTGCGCATTTTGTTGTCCTGGTAAATTGTCATATGTTAGGCAATTGCTAAATTTCTGGGAATAAAAGTATTACCTAGCTTTTGGAAGTCTATTGGAAGCATATTTTGAATATTGGTATAGTTAAATGAAAGTTGCTATTGAAGACTGTTGTATAATTGTCATGGTCATTGTCATTTAGAATACCATGTTCAATACTATGAATTGGAAAGCATGTGGGTGCTCTGGTACCATGCAATTTTATTTGAAAATTATACTAGAAATGATAGTTTAGAATCTTGATACCATGCAAGATTAGATCAAAGAGTGGGTTCATACATAACTGTAGTGCAAAGGTCTCTTTCTTCTTTGTCCTTGGTAACTGTATTATTATGAAAAATGAAAATCATACTTCATATTTTTCATATGGATGATTGATTACTTCTGTTTTCCTGTTCCTTGTGGAGGTTCTATTATATGCATTTTCTGTAAGCATGATATTTGCACAATACTCTATTGATACTAAGGGTTTTTTTTTTTTTTTTTTTTTTTTTTTTAAGACTTTTTGAGCAAATACCCGCCCCGTAAAACTTAGAGCGTGTCCACAGCGGCCAATCATCCTCTCACTCGGCAGGTTGAAACATATTTTAGCTATGAAGTGAGCGAGCCGTAGTGGTTTCCTTGATGAAGTGGGCAAATTCTTGTCTAAGGATCTTGCTACTTAATTTTGGCCCTTGGTTATAGTCTTTTTTTTCTTATTGAACATTTTAGAACTTGGATACCTAATTTTAATATATCTTTGTCATATGTTATACTGATAATCATTTGGTATATTGGTCGTTGCTCACCTGTGCTAAAACAAATATCGATGAGTTTAGTTTCCTTTTCACTCAAATTCTTAATTTTACTGAACAACGATAATCGGCCGAACCTGACACATTTAAGAATGTGTTGGAGAGTTTAATAAAGCAAATACAGTTTCAGGATGCAATAAGTTTAACCAGCATTTCTTTCTAAACAATTTGTGTCTATTTAACTCGGCAATATAATTGGCATATATGTTATTACATTTTTTTTTCCCTATCAAGTGTTTAGTCCGTTAGGAAAATTGCAAGTTTTCCATAAACTCGATTAGTAACTTTTGAGCTACAATGTGTTAAATTGTTAGTTAAGTACCATGTTCTCACCCGCAATCATAAATAATAGAATGTAAGAATCAAATTCAAAAAAAAATAATCGACCGGGGCAAAAAATTCTATATCTGGGTTTAGATTTTGTAGATTGGAGTTGGCAGTGTGATTCTAAACTTGATTCCTTGAGGCCAAAGCCGAGTATTCATCTTGATTATGCGTCCATGTATATGCATAAATCGGAGTCTGATAATCTCCCTCTTCCAGAGGAATTCCAAACTTTGAAAAATATTAAGATATTGTGTAAGAGATATAGGCTAATTTCTCGTTGACTTTAACTTTCTGTTGAACAAAAAGACTCGCACATCTATGACTTCCAAAGCATGCGGTACCCACTCATTGCTTCTCCTAGCAGGTTTGAAATTCGTTCGACTTAAATGAAGCTCACAGCCACAACATCCAGCACTCTTCAAATGTGCTGATGTTTTCTTCAAGTTACACTTCATACGGTATTTACAATAGTAGTGTACACGAAGCTCCTAGGCTTCTTTGTATGATGCAATACTGAAGACCGGAATTCTCATGTGCTTAACTATGGGGAGAACTCTCCTACATTCCTTCTTTGATTTAGTCCCGTTTATCTCTACTGTGTGGACTGGCTTCCTACCACTTTATATTACACAAAAGGCAAGAAAGCATGATATCTCAGGTAAGTAGTTTCACTGCAAAGTGCAAAGTAACATAAATTGAGCAAATTTATAAACTTACATTTCTAAAAGACTACAATTGGGAAATTCAGCAAAAATTCAAAACGATTCCGACTGCTTTAACATTGACAATTCAATTAATAATGCGGAGGATAATGGATAATCATTTATTAACGGGACACAAAGGGCCTAGCACTAAGTTTATTGGTGAATATTTTTAAATCCAGTAATTGGACCATATTTTTAGACACAATATTCAATAAAATTTATTGGTGTTATTGTCCAAAAATATAATTTATGGTTTTAGATAACACTTATCTACTCAATTGGTCATCTTCTAATTAAAGCACAGAAGACTCTGAGGGGACAGAATATCAAAAATCTCTAAGTCTTATATATCTCACAGGTTCAATGCATGTATAGAATTATAACGTTATTAATAAGAATGCGTAAATATCAATAAGATAGATGACATCTATCAAGGTGTATCCCTACAAAATGTATAGGATTCGTGCCTTATTGCGGCCAGTGATCCTTCTGTTACCAATGCGATTAATTTCTTACGATGCCTCTTAAAAAACAAGTTAAGACAGCGTTAATCGTGATTAGAGTGATAGGCAGGAGTCAATTTGTTGCCAATAATGGAATGGAGTTAATTCCTTCAGTACGGGATTACGATAAAGCTATCTGTTGTAATAGCCACATTAAACTCTTCTTGGATTGGCTCTCACACTAAAAAACCCAAAAACCAATGATCTTCGGGTGCACAGAAAGCGTTCTTGTTAAAGGTCTTTTTTTTGGAATAAAACTTGTTGAGGTCGATTCTTAATGAGTTCAGGTTGATGTTTAATGTTCAACATACTAATTAATCCCTTATTCCATTCCCTTGTGCTTTGCCCTTAGAAAATATTTGTTCAACACTGCACAACATGTTTTGATGTCTTATGGCGTCAATATACCTTCAACTTAGGTTTCGTTACCCTCTAAAGAACCAATTCTTTAGTAAAGGTTTGAGAGAATTTTGTGATCATTTATAGGTTACTTTAATGCTTAGACTATCAGTTTATACAGGCTGTGCATTGACAATACTCCGAATTATTTCGTGCTTTTCTATTGCATTTTGTATCTGCCTGCACAAATCATATTGTTTTGTACCAAAACATCTACTACCTTTGTCTGTACTTTCAAATTGCGGTTAACTTAGCAACCTCCATATGCCAAAGCTGGCAATTCGAAATATTGGGAGGTAAGTGTCTCTTATGGATGGAATATTTTGCCTTTACAACCTTCTGTTGAAATGGCTACAGATTTCTATCAAAGAGCCGTGTTTAATCCACCAAACATGAAGAGAAACAGAGAAGAATTCCTGCCCGGCATTAGGATACCTTTCACTCTTACTTACATTATGAATCATTATGGTTGAAATGTTTTGTATTCATCTGTTAGATGTTCTTTTAATTGCTTTGTGCAAAGAATCAGAACACCTTTGCCTCCTGGCCAGAAATTAAGTAACAGGTTTGAAAGTGGAGGATGCGGGACAAATAATATCATGTTAAATCAATTTTCAACGTTATGGCTGTATACGAGTTCTGTAAAGACTGGTAAGTCACATGCTTGAACTCAAATGTGTATTGAATTAATCGATAACTTTTTTTCTAACCCTTCATGTCCCAGCAGTAAGTAAGGGCTAGTAATTATTATGTGGCAACATTCAAAGAGGCAGGCTTTCGCATAGGTTATTAGTTTCTCTGTTAAATCCTGCAAATTCTCTTCCGTCTTGCCAGTATTTTTTATGTTGAGTATATTTTACAGAACCCAACTTGCAGCTGTGGCCCTCCGTCGTAGAAACAAATGATAGCTCTCCAAACAATTGGAATGTTAGTAGCAACCCTTCTGTGGCCCTATAATGGTTTGATTTTGTGAGGAGTGGATAAGGGACCAATGAAATGCATTAAATCTGGCGTTCCTGGAGAGTGCTTGTAACCTACCCGACCCTGTTTTTCATTGCGAAGGAAAAGAATATCTTGTATTTTGGAGAAAGAAGTGACCAACGGCTTCCAACTAATCTTTCCTCTTCCATTAAAATAAGTATATTGAGGTGAACATCGTTACGAGTATGTTAAGTAATGGAAGTATTTATTTGGCCCACTCTCAATTGAGACCTGTATGTAGGCGTTAATAAATAATATTCAATTGGTTCAATTGTCATTAAGAATACCATGTTCAATTTAACTAATGAAATTGGAGCAATAGTTGTGGAGAGCACAGAAGTTGGTTGCCATACTCATGTTTGAAGATGGAATCCTTCTCAATAAATATAGAAACCAAACAACTTTTTATATATATTACACCATTAATATACGAATACAAGTCTATATAAGGGTTTAAGAATTCCGGGATTAAGTTACGCATTGGAGTTTCTTACAATGCAAGATTAGATCCATAACGTAAGTGCGTATGTGTTCTTCTCGATTCAACAAATAAAACCTGTGAAGATGTTCACTCAAACATAGGTAACTCCTTTTTTTTCTTTGTCCTTTCTTAGCAATAAGTTTTGTTATTCTGTACTTTGCTGTCGTAATTAAGATAGAGAGTAAAGCAAACTCACAATAGAATATCAATCCGCTGGATATTTTCTTTCCTCTGATTTTTAGTTAGAGCTGAGGATTTTGCTTTCCACAACTGCGTATTGTTTCAAATCAAGTAGTTTTTTACCAACGTTATCAACAGTGGTGCCCATAACATTTGGTGATTTCATCTGATCCCCATGGTGTGGAAGGATTCCTTCTCCTTTTCATAGCCTAAAAATAGCCATTTCATTTCTTTCCCAACCGGAAGACATCTTGCTCTTCTAGTTTAAAAGGAATTTATAGGAAGTATAATGTGGTGACAGACACATAACCCGGTCCTAAGTTGAGTAGGTTTCATTAACCTAAGAAGGGTCTTCTTTTATTTTTTTCAGGTGATGTTTCTATATTTTCTAATGGTGATATATTAATTAAAACTCTGTCTTTTTAGGCCATTTTCAAATGTCTTTGCCCTATTCTATCCTAGCAGCCTGACTTAATGGAGACTGCCTTCTCACATTGCAGCCGATTATAGTAAATGTACATCATACAGATTCCCATCAAGAAATTGCCATGTGAACCGATTTCCAGATATATTTATTAGGTGTTGGGCAAACTTTAATATGTGAATATCGGTGAATCTGTCAAATCAACCGTGCTAACCTCCTTCTCAACTCAACGGTGAACTCAAAGCCCTGGATAAACATACATAATTTCTTTTTAACAAAAAGGGATTGTATAAACAAGTCCGAGAAAATACTCAATAGACAATTACTAAATAGTCAGGAAAAAAACAATGTTTTCAAGTACATTGGTTTTTACTCTTGGCACTAATGCGCATTAACTCGCTTAACACCAAAATCTCCTCCATCACAATTACCCAGAAAAACTGAATTGCTTAAATGGTAGGATACTATTGTTAAGTACTACATTTAAAAAGAAAGGGACTAACAACGCCCCTTGCATAGCGGGAGGTTGCAATTGTACATTTCTCAGAAGTGTGTTGCTTGAAAGGGCTTAGGCAAATTTTTTTTTTTTTTTTTTTTTTTTTTTTGGCATTATTTTTTCCTTTTCTGTATCGGAGTAACTTAACATTCTTAATTTTGCTTTTGTTGGACTGTACTGATACCTCTCTGTTATATATATTTCTGTGAGAACTTTGCAGTTTTCAGAGGCCACCAGGACCAATTCCATCTTCAATGCTAGGACTTGAAGCTCATACAGGAAGCTTGGATGATTTTGGTTTTGAGGATTATTTGAACGGTAAGTAATTCTATTTGAATACAGTGCATAGTGCTATTACAAAGTTGACAGTTCATGGTTGGTTAAATTGCTTTTTCACTGTGCAAGTGTTCAGATTTTTTTAAATGCCTTAATTTTAAAATTAGGGAAGTCTTTGGAATTGTATCCTTCCTCTCAATAAGTCATAGGACATCAATTTCTTGAGATCTCTGCCGTCATCAATAATTTTTCTGGGCTGCTTCCCTATGTCCCCAGAAATACCAAAAAAGAAACAAAATGGGTAAAGGTTGGCCTACTATTTTTACTGCAATGTTTTTTTGGGTTCATAAGTAGATGAAGGGGCTTCAGTTTTGTAGGCTATACAATGGGGGTAGCAGTCCCCATTTTCTAACTGCCATAATGGTGGACTGAAAGACTAGGCTAGGTGCCTAATTTTGCATTTTTCCTTCGAACTACTGTTAATTTTAATGAGAAAAAAGTAACTGGAAAGTTTATCTCCTAATTACTATTGTGAGATTAGAAAGCTGAAAGCTGGGTTTGTCATAGATGCTTGATATGTTTCTGATCTCCTACTTTTGCTGATTGACGTCTTTTTCTGGGTGCTGCCGCAGATCCTCGCGAATCTGAAACTCACCGGCCTCTCGACATGCATCATGGTATGGAAGTACAACTTGGACTTTCCAAGGGACCAGTGTATCCCAGTTTCATATAGTGCAACCATATAGCCAATGCCTAAAGAGTTCAAAACAGTACTTCATTTTATGTCAATTGCTGGTGGACTTTGTTGTTGATGTTCTTAGTATTATGATCTGTTGAACTTATCATACACTCTGAGACCATAACAATTTTATTGTTGTCATGTTGCCAAATCTGGTTTAAGTTGCTTTATGTTTTTATTTTATCACCCCTTATTGCATTTGAATATGGATGCTGTTTGTGCTGGAAACTTTTCAGATTTGAAAACTTTTATTGAAAGTGTCAGTATCTACCGTTAAAGCCTCATGCTAATTTTATTGAAAAAGCCTCGCTTAGAGAGATCAAGTGTCTAGACCCCCAAACCACTAAAGTCTTTAGGTTGACAAGCTTCTTACCAAGGAGCCAAAGCTATTTTTCTTCATTCATGATGAGTAGCAGATGAAGTTTCTGCAATTTTGCTCCATTTCATTGCGGATTTTAGAAGGAAGCCTGTTGAAAAATGTGGGAGGAGAGCTAGATTTCTTAAACATAAACACAAAAGAATGAGATGAAGAGGAACACAAATTCGTTACTTATAGCTAAGGATTTAAAAAGCATGAAGCAAAGATTTTATTTTTCTTTTTTCTTAATTCTTATAGCTATCCAGCTCTCTCTTTCCCTCTTATTTTTTTCTTTTGTTCTCGATATCAAATATTTTACTGTTTGTACATAAAGTGCAATATAATTTTGTTTGATAGGCTATATAATGCAGCATAAACTAATATAACTTCAAACCTAATAAATTTTAATAATATTACAATAATATAGTTCTCTCTTTTTCTTTTTTCTTCTCTCTTTTTTTTTTTTTTTTTATTTTCTCTTTTTTTTTTTTTTTTTTAATTATCCAATTCTAATTTTTAGTGTCAATGGCCATGGCCGTCTTCCTCTCTTTTATTCACTCTTGGTTTCTCAAATCTTTTTTTGTCATAGCAGATCATTGTTTTTCTTTGTTTTTGTTTTTTTTTTTTTTTTTTTAATTATCCAATTCTAATTTTAGTGTCAATGGCCATGGCCGTCTTCCTCTCTTTTATTCACTCTTGATCTCAAATCTTTTTTTGTCATAGCAGATCATTTTTTTTCTTTGTTTTTGTTATTATTATTTTGTCTCTCTATTTGAAATTTCTTTTATCTCATTTTTTATTGGAGTTTGGTTCTTTCTTTACGATATTTGATTTTATTTCTATTACATCGATAATGCACAGTGATAGAACTTATTTTATTGTCTAAATTAAATAAAGAACGATATATAATTCAATTATTTTTTTTTTACATTATAGTTAATTTTTAAATTGTTTATTATATGTTCTTATTAAATTTTATTTTATTTTTAATAATTCTCGTAATTTATTATTATTTTTTAAATCTTAGTTTAAATTTATATTTAATAATTATATTTATTGGGATGCATTGACATAATAAAAAAATTATAGTTATAAAATTATTCATAAATTAATAATAATTTCCATTTTTTAATCCTTGTGGAAAAAAAAGAAGGTGAACAATTTTTCAAGGAACGCGAGGGAGTATATATTTTTCTTATTTTGAAAGTAAAACTGCGGCTAGTTTCTCTTACAAATAATCATAAACTTGTTGATTAAAAAAAAAAAAAAAACATAAAAGTAAGATTAATATTTAGTTCTCACAGGTTACTCAAGGCCTGTAACTCTCTTCTCCATTGAACCCTAGCTAATTAAAAACAAAATCAACCAAAGCTATTTTCATGTACCTGTAACTGCCCTCGCCTCTCATTCTCTTGATGGAATCTCGGCGAGCAGCTCGCACCGTCAGCGACCCCAAGGTCCGCCAAGTCGGTTTCTTCGCTCCCGGGGCTGCATCACCCGACCGCACCCAGTCGGGTCCACCCGAACACCATATCTCCTCTTCGCCTCCAACAATCACTGACCTCTCTCCTTCCGGCGGCAATTCCCTCTCTCCAGTCATGATTCCTCCGCCGCGTCACGCATCCGCCCCGCTGTCTCCTCTCCGTCGAGATTCTCTCCCTGTTGGAAGCTATAATGCCTCGGAGTTTGTGCCAGCTACATCTCCTACTGCTACGGCGTCGTTCTCGGATGATACGGCTTGGGCGGGAAGGGGAGGAAGGGCTGCATCTAGTAGTTTTCCTGGAAGAGGATTTGATATGCCGGCGGCGAGTAGTATTCCAGCGAGTGGCTTGACTACTGTGTCTGTGGTCAATTTACCTCCTGGTATATCTGGTATGGTTTTAAATTTGCTTCATTGAGAGTTGTCGAGTTAGGATTATTGAGAATGAAAATTTGATACTTATATTTCACCTCTTAACTGATTTCTGCTTGTATTAGAGGAAAAATGTCTGTATTAACTTTGCCAGAGTTTAAAATCACTTTCTTTCTGCTTCTCTAATAACTTTTATGTTTAAAGGAGTAATAGAAATATTCTGCTCACTATTGTAACTGTGTGATCCCGTTGGGCCAATTGGTAGTTATTTTGAAATGATTATTTCATTTTCATTTGAAAATGGTACTTTTGAAAAAACTGTCAAGGAGGATGAATAAAAGGAATACAAAACTGACTGTATAAGGTTTTATTTATGTGAACTACTACTTGTTAGTAATGTATCAGAAATTTACTCTATAGTTTTCTTTTGCATGTAAGAATGATAAGACATTTGGCACTTCAGAATCTGGGATGGAAAAGAAGTTGTTGATTTTGACATTATATATATTTACACAGTCGCGAATGCTAGGAAGATCTTCAAGCAATCCTACCAATCACTTTGCTCTATCCATTCACACACACACACACACACACACACACACACACACACACACATATATGAATGCTAGGAAGATCTTCATACCGTTCTCTGGAAACAAATTTCCATAATGGATAGAGCACAGTGATTGTTAGGATTGCTCGACTCTTTGAGGATTTTTTGTATTTGTATTTGTATTTGAGGTTCATGATTATTTGATAAATTGTAGCTTTAAATGACCACTATAGATAATTGCAGAAAAGTCTGGAGTATCAGCTGAAGTTCAAAATGAACTACCTACAAATTCAAAGTCATTGAAAGAGAAAACTACTAAAGCTGAAAGGCGTGCCCTTCAAGAAGCTCAACGAGCTGCAAAAGCAGCTACAAAAGGTGCATATTGTTATTTTATTCTTTTGTGAAGGAACAGGAAGTCATGACATTTCTCTTGCTAAAGCTATCTCTAATTGCTATTGCAATCGTTGGACTCTCCAACACACTTTTGTCTCTGTCTCTCTCTGTGTATATGTGAGAACAGAGTTTCATGATTTCCCTTCATTGACCTGGCTTTTATGTTATCGAATCACTCTTTGCTTGCAAAATTGGTTTATGATTATTAGTCTTAAATATGACCTTTACATCATCTGATGCTATCATAACAATCCTTCATGTTTGTTTGTGCTTTTCAAAATTCATTCATGGGGATGTTACCAGCTGAAGGTGGCAAGACACCTCTTCCTGCATCTGGGGCTGCCTCTTCAGCAAATGTAAAATCAGCTAAAGCTGCAAAGCCTCCTTCTCAAAAGAATGATAATGCTACAGTTGTGGCTTCTGAGAAGAAGGGAGGTGATCGCCCTCCAGAAAAAGATAGAAAGAAAGATGTTCCTCAACCACGCATGCAATATGATGACAAGAGTCGAGTGGACAAGGCGAAAAAGCGTGCAGTGGTAAAGCAAACAGAAGCTAGGAGCAGAGTTGAGTTGTTCAGGCATCTACCTCAATATGAGCGTGGAACTCAGCTCCCTGATCTTGAGTCAAAGTTCTTCCAACTTGATCCAATGCATCCAGCTGTCTACAAGGTATTCATATGAAGAGTTTTTTTCAGCTCAACTTGTGGTTGAAATTTTTTCTATTTGTCAGTTTTAGAATAATGTAATGTGCACATTGATTGATGTGAGCATGTTCAAGCGAACATAATTGAGTTTTGCTCTATTTATGTGGTCTTTATTATCTCATTACATTGTGATTGTGATATTCTATAAGAGCTAAATGGTGTTAAAAATTGCCCTCTGTCCTGATCTTTTAGCTAGATGGCTAGGAGAAAATGTGTTTATAGGACCTTTGTTCAAGGTCACTACATAAAGCATCAAGTATTCTCATGCTTTTATTCAATGATGAGCTTTTATTGTTTTTGCAGGTTGGTTTGCAGTATTTATCAGGAGATATATGTGGTGGCAATGCTCGCTGCATTGCAATGCTTCTAGCATTCCAAGAGGTCATTAAAGATTACTCAATACCACTTGAAAAGACTCTTGTTAGAGATTTGACAGCAAAAATTGGAAGTTATGTTTCTTTCCTCATAGAGTGTCGACCCCTTTCAATCAGCATGGGAAATGCAATTAGGTTTCTAAAGAATAGAATTGCCAAATTACCCCTGACTTTGTCGGAGTCAGAAGCAAAGGCCGCTCTTATTTCAGATATTGATCGTTTCATAAATGAGAAGATCATACTTGCAGATAGGGTAATAGTTAAGCATGCAGTTACTAAGATCAGAGATGGTGATGTTCTTCTTACATATGGGTCATCCTCTGCAGTTGAAATGATACTACTGCATGCCCATGAACTTGGCAAACAGTTCCGTGTTGTGATAGTGGACTCTCGTCCAAAACTTGAAGGGCAACTGTTACTTCGTAGATTGGTGGGGAAGGGTGTCAGTTGTACATACACTCATATTAATGCTGTTTCTTATATGATGCATGAAGTTACTCGAGTGTTTTTGGGTGCATCATCTGTGCTGTCCAATGGAACAGTTTACTCAAGGGTTGGGACTGCGTCTGTTGCTATGGTCGCCCATGCATTCGGTGTACCAGTCTTAGTTTGTTGTGAAGCATACAAGTTTCATGAGAGGGTGCAGCTTGATTCTATATGCTTTAATGAGCTAGGTAAGCATTTCTCACTCCAGTGGTGTTCCATAAATTAACAATTGGTTGGATGCTATGTTCAAAGCTATCAAAATGTTTTTCACTTGCAGGTGATCCAGATGCCATTTCAAAAGTTCGTGGCAGAGAGGAAATCAACTTCTTGGATGGCTGTGCCAACAGAGAAAATCTGCAGCTTCTGAATCTCATGTAAGTGCTTATAACATTAATCATAGTCTGGGATGTATCAGTTTGCCTAACTGAAACCACCTCTTATATTGGATTGTCATGACAGTTACGATGCAACACCTTCAGAATACGTTTCCATGATAGTCACAGATTATGGCATGGTAAGCCACTGCATCTTGTTATTTGTATTTCAATTTTGTTTTCTTTTTTAACAATTCACTTTCCTTCAATTTAAACATGGATCCATTACCTGTTTGGTTTGCCTGTCACCTGTGCTATGTTCTTCTGGATCATGGACTAATAGAAATGAGAAAGCACAGAACACTTAAAAGCTTGCTGCTTAATGATTGGGTATTATATAAATTGCCAATGCATTGTTCCATGCTTTTTTCAGGTTCCGCCCACAAGTGTGCCTGTTATTGTGCGAGAGTATCGGAGGGAACATTTGTGGATATAGATGTTCAGCCTGAAGATGATGGATGATGGGTGTTGCCCCAGAATTTTTGTTTGTGCTAATGTCGGTCTTCCCTAACTATTACAAGGGCAGACACAAGATCAGATGATTTTTTTTTTTTTTTTCTTTTTATCATCCTTGGCGGTGGAATGATTTTGATTTCTTTTCCCTGACTCAGTGAAGGGTGCATTAGTCGCCTATCCGGGCAGATTTAGTCATGCATACTTTTCTAGTTGTATCAATTTTTTTCCCATTTGAGCATTGCAGGCAATGACTTCTAATCTGAAAGTTGACAGTTTTGCTCCGACAGCTCACATTTTCAGTTGTTTATGTCAATTCTGCCTAGATAATTTGATTCTTTTGAAAGCTTTATGTTGAATGTATGTTTGCAATCTCAATTACTTCTTGAACAAACTAATTTCTGTAACATTATAATTTCTCATGCTTCTTATCAACATTCAAAATTCAATACCCTTCATATTGCTATTGTTAGCATTTGTATTGCTTTGCTGGAATAGCTTTAATTGATTACTATGCTATTACTTTTCCCTAACATCCTTTCCATAGTTAGTGCATGTTTGCACTTCCTCGTTCTCTCTTCACCGTAAGAATGAAAGGAGAACTATGGATGGGGATCAGAGACATAAAATGATGAGAGTGCTAGAGTGGGAAGGGTAGGGAGAGAAGAAAATAAATTTTTAGAAGTTATTCTTTCGTTGTTCAGCTTAAAAGTAGAGTGGAGATTTTCGAAAAGAGAAGTTTTCGAAAGGGAAAGAAATATCTTTGTCGTATCATATACCCAAAATGAAAACTCATAACCAAAGGGATTGGCATTGGCTTCTTATTTAATAGACCTTATTATGAGCAAAGAGAACAACGGATTCGATTGAAAACAGAACAGCAGATGCTCTTTTTCGGTGAGAAAAGTCCTAACAAGCAAGAGTAGCTTTCCATTTTGTCATTCTTTTTAGATAATTTTTTATTATTCATATACAAATATTGTATATTCTTTTTTCTCTTTGTTTAATTTAACATTTTTTACCTTCAAATATTATATACAAAGAACATCGTACCACCTGCATTAAGCATGAATATATTTTATGATAAATGGTTGCAAATATAGTAATTGAATATGGAATCTTTATGTCCAAGGACATCACCCTTGTCATTTAGGCTAAGAATCATTCGACAATATAACATATTTTTCATTCCCATTCGTAATTATTTTAAATTTGAAAACAAATTAAATATCAACATATATAAGTTGGCTAAGATTAACAAATCCTACGAACAATGTATGTATGTCATGCATTGGTAGGGCTTTTCAGATATATGGTGCAAATTCTCCATTAGAAATAAGAAGTGAATAAGATTTTTCACATCGATATGAATGCGAGACTGCTTTATCATTTTTAACAAAGGTTTTCACCATTACAGTGAACTCTATGATTATGAAAGGATAAATTCTTATACATTCATATACAAAAGTGAAGGGGCAAAGCAAAAGAGTTACAGTTACAAGACAAAAAAAATACATAACACTTATATCATCTCAAAACAAAGTGATTAGGTTTAATTTGAATTCTGATAAACTCAAACCAACGAAGTTAATTTTCATCTGCAGAGTCCAAACCATGGAAGAAGATAAAAGTCAAAATGCTAGCTAGTTAGGGTTTAGGATGACAACTATTATACTAGGACTGAGCTGTACCGTTCTAAATTCATGCATTGTTCAAAGCTCAAAAGATTTGCATGGATTCGTATTATAATTTTATATTGGGTATCATCTATATATATGTTCCCATTCCCCTATATCTTCTTCTTCTTCCATAGCTTCTGCAATTTAATTATTTTCTTGACCCATTACAGCTTTCTTTCTTTAGCACTACAATATATCCGTACTGTAAAAAGTACCTTTTACTTACTCCGCAAAGTGCAAAGAGAAAGAAAGAAGGAAAAGGAAGCTGTGTAATAATATTATAATATACACATATCACCCAAATTTTATAGTACGTACTGAAAACTCAGAGTCTCACACTTACCCATGTAACTGAACCTTTCTTTTTCTTCAAAAGTCATTGTACAATAAAAAGAATTGCCCATGTAAGTGAAACAACAGAAGTTCAAAAAAAAAAAAAAAAAGAAGATAGCTTTCCATATTTTACTATGCAATTCAACTACAAGATCTGTAGTAACACTGTTCTTGTTCTGTTCATCATTATTGTTCTTGCAACGTTCACTATTCAAATGCAAGATCTGCAGTGACTCACTGTTCATGTTCTTTTCATCATTCTTGTTCTTGCAATGTAAGTCTACACTCTGTTTCTTTCTCTCTTTTATATATGTATATATGAAGAATTTTATTTTCATGTAAAAATAGATTCTATTCTAACTGTTTTGGCAACTCCAAAGTAACTATCCATCTTCAACGACAGTTCTTTAGATGCTAGAAAGAAAGAGAAAAATAAAAAAGAAAAAAGAAAATGGTATTGATTGGTTGCTGAGAAATTGTTGGAAAATAGAAGAAAAAGTAAGTTTTATCATATCTTTCTTTAATTATTTGTTTTTACTTTCGTTAATGAATCTATCTACCTATATAGTTAATATTTTAACACTTAACTACATGTAGTTGGTATAGGTTTCAGAGACATGAATTTTGAAGAAAGATTCTAAATTTTCTATTTTTTTATCTTTAATTTGTCTTGGTTTGTTTATAAGATTATTTTTTTTCTTGATAAATTATTTTGTTTTATATAGACAGTAAGAGTTTGAAGAATATGTTTTTATTTCATCATAAATCAAACCTTTATTAAATAAGCCAATCATAAGATTAATTATGAATGACTTTCTTTCATTTTGCAGTGAGATAAAAAAAAAAAAAAATGAGCAATGAAGATTGAGATGGAATCAGGAGGAGTTTTTTTTAGGTAATTTAGTTAAAATTTACTTCTCATGTCTTATTTAGTTTAAATGAATCCTACATAATTTATTAGAACTAAATAAATTACATTGATAAAAAGTAAAATGGTGATTATGGTTTGATTTTGATTTTAATTAAAGAAATTGAAAATTTTCAGTTCACTTCAATTTTCATTATATAAAATCAAAAAAAAACCTAATAGTTGAAAATAAAATTGAATTAACTAAAAAAATAGCCAAAATCGAAAACAAAAAATAAATTTGAACTGAATTTAGTTTACATTTTTAAAAATTAAATTCTTTTCGGGTTTTGACAACTACCCTCCATTATATCCAAATTAGGCTACTCTAAATTAAATAAAGAACTTTGCAAATATGGGCTGGGCTTTTCTGATGGAAAAGGATGTCCATGATTAAAATTTTGAACTTGGCATATATGGGCTGGCCCATGTGTCTAATGAAGGTTTTTCGTTTTCTTTTTTGGGTGGGGCTTTTTATTGTAGCCCAAGCAGCTTGATTTTTAAACTATTGCATTAAAAAAATATTAGTATTTCATTTGCTTTAATTAATAGTTCCTTTTAAAATATTATTACTAAACATCATCACATATTCTTTTTCTTTTCTATAATAAATTAATATTCATATAATATTTAAATGTATATTAATATAAAAAAATTATTTATATATAGGTTAAGCATACTTTAAGTTGAACAAATCAAACTAACTAAATTGATCTAATTCGATTTATCAGTTTAATTCATAAGAGGTTCGGTTTTTATTTTAATAAATAAATTGAAAGTTTATTCAGTTTTAGTATCAGTTGCATGATAAACTTAAAGAAAAATAACAATTCTTGAAAGTAGCCAAAAAATTTTTTAATATAGCTGAGTGATTATTTTTTTTTCCTATATTATAATTTTCTTTAAATGATTGACATATAAGAAAAATCACATTTTCAAGTTAAAATTTTTTTCTCCGCTTGAATAAAAAAAATATGGAAACTAATTACTTTATAAAAGGATATAAACATATTAGATGATTTTGTTTTTGTCACCAAATGATATTTAACACATCACACTATTACAAGGATAAGAAAGGAAAAAAAAAATTAATGCCCATTTGCATTGATAAATTAATAGCGAAACCTATGTAATTGAAATTGAAATTTATGAGTTTTAAATGTATTTTTAGAATAAAATTAATTGTTATTTTAAATTTTATTATTAATAAAAAAATAATAGAATTGAGAAATCCTGTCTTAAATTAATTCCTCTCAATTTCAAATGATAGAATTACGACCATGATTTAATTTATTAATTCTATGAATTTTGCGCTTACTTTATTTCTTGACTAAATAAAATAAATTTTCGGTATTTCTTTGTTTGACTAATGGAATAGAAATTAAACAGGTTTAGCTGGATCAACATGTTCAAATCGAATTTGATTTTTAGTAAATAAAATAATTTCTTTAAAATATTTTTGGTGAGTACTCGACTCATGATTTATAATTAAATATTAACTATTCAAATAAATATTAATTATTCCAAAAATTAATAATTATTAAAATAATTAATTTTGCCTAGACTTCAAATAATTTAAAATGAGTGGCTAAACGGATAGTCAGTAGGCAGTGTTAGAGGAAAGGGGATAATAAGGGAAGAGAGACGGTGAAGCAGTACCTAAAACACTACAATCAACTAGTCCCCTGCCATTGAACCTTAGGAAGTCCTTTTTTATCCACCCTATTTACAGATTCTATTACCTACTTAATCTAGGGATTGAGGCTACAATTGGAAAGAATAAGTAGATATAGATGCATTCAAAAACAAGTAAGCTAGAAATACAAAAACACATGTCAGTAATATACAAGACAACAATTCTCTTATCAACCCTCTAAATATATACTTCACTACTTTTGAAATTCAATTTCACACACACACATATAAATATATATTTGGTGTATGGGTAGCAAGCCAAATGCTAATTGCCATCTAAGAAAAAAAAGTTATTCCTAGTGAAAAGATATTGATATTCTTGATGGTTTTATTGGACAATGAAGAAGCTAAATTAAAAGGTAAAAGGCTAGAAAAATTGCAAAGTCAAGAGGTAAAATTTTTTTAAAAAAATTTACGGTTTTAGTAGGTAAAATTGAAATTTTTCACTATTTTTGGAGGCAAATTAAAACAAAGAGGGATAGAGGCTAGGGACCTCCCTCTATCTCTGTAGTGAAACTTATATTCGGAGGTGATGATCATATCATCAAACTTTTCTTACATAAGGAAAGTTAGTTCTGTAGGATGTCTAGAAAAAGTTGCACTCCTTTAGTTAAATATAATGAATTTACAGACTTATCCTATTATCTGATTACACTTAAATTTATATTATGAATATTATTATATTTTATAATTTGAAACCAATTTACTTTTTATGAAATTTGATTTGTATATCGAACACATTCAAATTATTACTTTCTGATAAATAATTTCATTAGAAGTGTATTTCTTGAAAAATTTACTTCCTGAAAAATAGATCATTTTAAAACAAATGAGACCTAAATGTAAGTAAGAGTTTCCATGTTCGACCTAAAAATAAAAATGGACACGTATCTAAAACTTTTAAAATTAAAATATTGGTATCTTACACATCAATGTACTTTCCTTTTTGTCTCTTTCTTTCTTTCTTTTTTTTTTTTTTCGAAGTAATTAACCCTAATAAGGGAACTGAAATATGCTTAAGTTTCTGAGAGGAAAACATCAAATATACTGATGAAGAAATAAGTCTTCACTTCTAATGTCTTAATTAGTAAGTTTCTGTGTCTTTTACTGATGAAATGAATTCCTAGTCCTTAATTTTTCATCGATTTTTCAGGTACTGCTAGGGTTGAACATCTACATTCTTCAAGAAGCATAGAGAAGGTAAGATTCTAATATTATATGCTTATGACAGTTTCATGAACTCCTGTACTTATAATATACTTCATAAGAATTCAGGAAGCAATCGAAGCCTATTGAATCAATCAAGCTCTCTCTATATATGAGTATTAATCTGGCATTTCAAGCGAAATTTCATAGTTCTGAACACCATTATCACTAATCTGAAACTCGGCAGTAAAGATCTCTTAGATCTTCTTAGTAATTGTGAAATAGTATTATTGCTTTTCTTGAGAAATCCTCTGCTGAAATGATTCGGCCAATTTGGTGTTGGCTAACTTGAGGCCTTCAAAACCCAACTCCAATTAGTTTGTACCCTAAAATACTAATGCTCTTCTTCATTTCCCATCTAAATCTTTCTATTAATCTTCATATATAGAACAGAAAAAAAAAAAGGTGGAAACACATTCTTCAACATAAGAACATTAAGTTCATTTGTGAAGCTAAGTAACATCATCTCTTCAATTGCATAGGACTTGAAGGAAGCCATCTATAGCACTAAAGCCACTATCTTTCTATAATACATGTATATGGGGCTAAGGTTTAGAGAATCACTAATATATATATATATATTGCTATATTTGTGAATTGTAATAAAACGTAATACAATATAAATATAAGAAATGTCTTTGATTATATCATGTTACGTGCTATTACAACTCACTAAATTAGAGTTTTAGAGTTCGGACAACATTGAGATCGACAAAAAAATAAATAACCATTTCATAGAGAAGAAAAGAAAGGTTCAAGAGGTTTCTTGTTCCATGTTAGACACAAAAACCAAACCTTCACACAGTTCATACCAAGCTTAAACATCTAGTGAACTTGATTAGTTTGACAAATTACTTTCAAAAAGTTTGGATCTTACCAGTTTTCTCAACTTTAATCTTACTTGGTCTAGGGCATGATTTCCATAATGGTAAACAAAGTGTCAAAATTTTAGCTATATCCATATGCAAGTAGTCTTATGGTACTTCTTGGATTTCCTATGAATGTCATAAATCTGCACATATTATACTAAATTTGTCTCACAAAACGAAGTTTTAGCATACAACGGTTAGATTTCAGTTCCAGCAACAAGAAGCTCAGGGAAAGAGCATATCTATCAGCTTAAACTTCTGTTATTATATATATAACACAGTTCATTGAGTTAAATGTGTTAAATTACTTGCACAAATACAAGACCATACTATACACAACATAACTCATTCAACATAGCTTGTGGAGGTTAGCTAGCAATATTATCAAAATAGAAAATGTTAATAATAGAGTATTCGGACATCATCATCAGACCCTGTGAGATAATAATAAATCTAGTATAAGTTAATAACCACATAAGAAAAAACTTATGTGGGATGCCTATATCCTAAACCTTAAAGCCAAACACTCTCAAAATGTGAAGTTAAGAAATGCATCTATTAGATGCTTCATTTTAATTGATAAGCATTTGGAAGGGAGTTCATACTTCATAAAATTATATATTTCCCTATTGAACATGAAAAATAATTAACCAGTCCAAATCCAGAGCATTGGAATTAAAATAATCTTTAGTATGATGATATATACATAATTAAAGAATCCTATAATTCAGTTTTATCACTACATATCAACAAATTTTAGTTCATTAAACTTCAAAGCCAGAATGTTCCGACTGCATATATAGATACCATTATTGGCTCCAATATTGCAAGATAAAAAGAAAAAGCCCTATTTAGTGATAGTTAGCTTCATATAATCTTTGGAAATTAATTTCAAACACCTTTAATTAGAAATGCAATTAGAGGAATCTTCATCAGACAAAGTGTTTCAATTGCTATGAAATCAACTTACTAATGAACAAAATTACAGGTGAAAATATTTCTAATTTGATCCAATTCTCGGTATGAAAATGTACAGTTTGATTTAATTAAATAAAGACTTAATAATTATATGTAATCCAAGAAAATTGAAAGAGACAATCATAATCAAGGGATAAAAGTCTTGATATGTAAATCACAGTCAAATCAAGTGATTATAATTATCTCCTATCATTAATTCTGCTATATATGATCAAGAGATACTAAGAAGAGAACTAATAAGGCTTACATCTTTAATATGCTCATAACACGTGTAATTAGTGCAGACATTGGCTACCATTTTCAGCCTCTCGGAGCTTACCATAAAGATGAAGTCCTGCAAAATTGATAACATCAATCAATCAAATCTCAAATTACTAATTAACTAAGAAAATGCAAAGAAAGAAAAATTGATGTTTTTGATGTCATAATTGTAATTACCTGCAGATCTATTCATGTTGGTGATAGCACAGAAGCTTGATCGTGCAATTGCATTATTAATTTCCCAATTTGAAGTGAAATTGGGCAAATTGAGGTTGTTATAATTGGAATTATTGCAAGTTAAATCTCTTAACATTAAAAGATTTTGTTGATAACCCATCACTGAAGATGGCTTCAACTTTCTTTCAATAGCTATTGACTCTTCAATAATATTATTTTCTTTTGCATCAGGTAATTCATCTACTAATTCATCATTCGATAATAAGTACTGGTTCAACATTTTAATTCTTGTTCTTTCTCTTGCTCTTGCTCTTGCCTTTACCCTCAGCTCTTTCGCGGCTAAATTAGTCGTGTATTTTTCGAGCTTTTTGGCCTTCTTTTCATTTTTACCAGTTGAAACTATACCTTCTTCCATTGCTATTTCCCCATTTTCAGGTGATAAAGCTTCACAGGTAGAAGAAGAAGAAGCGGAAGAAGAAGGCGAACTTCTTTTATGAGCTACCCTTTTAATTGCTCTTTTCGATTTGGAAAGTAACCATTCTAGGGTTTTACTTGCTTTATCAAACCCTAGCATGTCTTGAAGATCGAAAAATTTACGAGCGATTTGGATAGATAATCTGACTCTCCGATCTCTAAGACCTTGTGATGTGTGAATCTTGCTATGTCTATCTTTCTTTAAGGGTTTTTTGGCAGAAACAAAGACGCAAGAAGACGGCTGCTGTTGCTGTAATTGCTGCGACTGCTTATAACAAGATTCGCCATCGATTTGATCGATATTATAACAATTAATGTCTTGTTTGGCATTGATACTTGATAAAGTTTCAGTGCTCACCAGAGAACTAGTTAAAGGATTGTTTGGTAACAAAGAAAATGTGGGTTGAAAGAAAACATCAGTAGAAGTAGTAGCTTCATGGTTATTAAGAAAGAAAGGAGAAGGATTGTAAGAAGAAAAAGAAGAAAGATATGGAAATGGATTGATGGTAGCATTAATGGTGGAGGGGAACATATTTTGTAGCTGAGAAGATAAAACCCTAAAAATTAAAAGCTTTGACAGAAGGAGAAAGAGAAACTAAAAGAAGGTACTAGAGAGAGTTGCATCCATTGAAAGAGCACCACCCGTTTTATATATTCTTTTAATTTGCAGATTCAATTCTCTGTTTCTAATCAGCCTTTAGATTTGAGAGACGTTCATGTACTGTACTTACAGAGATAAAGGTAATTAAGCAGTGTTTAGTTAGAAGGGGATGAAAGAAAACGGTGGAAGAAGGATGTAAGAAAAGGAAAGTTAATGTACCTTTTTTCTACCCAAAAAAGGGACTAACAGGTGAGTTAGTCATTGCCACATTGGCTCGAGCCATTGATCCGGTGTTGACGTTCCATTTGAAGACACCCCATAGGACTTACGACCCCCCGAGTCCTCAACCCATGATAGCAAGAGCTCGGTCGAAGAAAGTCCATAAAAGTAGGCCAAGATCTATAGTAACATAGTCAATATTTAGATATCATGTATAATATGATGTGCTCATGAAGGATCAACTCTGATCAAGCAAGCGGATGACGAGGTTTTTTCCACCAGGCCACTACCTAAGGTGGTAAGTTAATATACACAACCTTAAAACTTTCCTTTGTGTATGGATAACAGAAAAGGATGGAAAGGAAATTAATAGTTAGAATTTACATAATTAGTTTTCTTAGTAATTGTCCTTTTTCTTCCCTTTATAGGACTCAAAATGTAAAATTTAAGATTTTTTTTTAAGTATATATACCAAAAATTCTTAAAATGATGCAAATTATAGCACACCAAGACATGTTTGGTGGTAAGTGCATTAAGACCTAACAATATTTATAGGTTCAAACTCCTTTCAACCAATATTCAAGAAAAAAAAAATCAAATTTTGTGTTTCTAATTTTTAATATTATGAAGTAGATACTGGATTATTGAACTGGAAATTTAATTAAATTTCCAAGTTTTATTTTTTTTACTTTATTAATTAATGATAAAATTAGACTTAGTTAAATATATCAAAATAGTATTGTCACGTGGAAAGTATCAGGTCTTGAGTTCAAGTCCACTCTATTATAAAAATCATCGCCTATTTGGTGAAAGTTATTAAGTGGAGGACTAACCTTACTCTATAACTCATAATATTATTACAGGTGATAGGAAGACCTCAGACCGAAGACCTCAGACCACACTTGATTGGCGTGATAAATCCGTTTTTAATCCTCTATATCAAGGGTCTTTAATCCTCAACTCAAATATATAATCAATTTTATTAACCCTTATAATCTGCCTTGTTAGTTTAATTCTAATTCTCTCATAACTTGTCTCGTGTCTCTATTAGGCAATATATATATATAATTAGGAGGTATAATCCCTTCGGACCCTATAATGTAGAAGTGTTTAGTCCTCCTAAAATGTAAAAATTTATATTTTCACTCTTATAAGAACGATGTTGTTTTTCACTTTAACTAACATCTTATTGGTTTAAAAAAAAAAAAAAGAAAATTACTCTTAATTTGAGATTTTGGCTCTTCCCCTTTATTTCACCGCTTCTTGAAAAAATAAATCAAGCTAAATGGATTATATTATCTGATAGTATATGAAATCAATAATTACTAGTATTTATCTACTAATTTTAACTTGCACAGATTTTTTATTTGCATTATTCCAAAATGGGAAAATTACTAAATTACCTACTAATTTTTACCACTCCATTTTCACCTTCTTAAAGTGAGAAAGAATTGGTGGATGTAAATGAGGCTTCTTACACACACACACACACGGAGTTTATGCCACTTAATGTGGGGGCATGAAAATATTTGGTAGGGACAAAAGTTACGTTAATTTAGAGAAAATGCCGTTGTAGGGTTCAGGTGGGAGACATTAAAAACTTGTTTGATTTAGATGTTATATTAACTAGTCTTCTCGCGCGTACGAATGTTATATAAGGTTAAAAACAAAAATGTTATTTTTATTATAATTAATAATTATTTTCAAGAATCCAAATATCTAATATATTATATTTACTAATATAAAAAACATAAAATAGAAAATAATTTTTTTCCCAAATTCTTGCAAAAGGATCAATCTATTGACATATGCATACATAAATCAAGTTTATAATTAAGCTTAAAATTTCTAATTTTCATAAATATTTTAATAGATTTAAATAATCTTTTTAAATATCAATTATTGAATTCGTTTTAATAAATAATCTAAAAACTGGCATAAATCCAATAAACGTTAAAAATTTTTTAAAATAATTCATCGAAATTTGCCCTGATTTAGAATAGTTTGAAAAGTACTATTATCTCCCTTCACAAAACAAAACATAAACATCAATTTTGTCATTAAATATTTCTCTATTTCACAGATAATGATATTAGAAAATGAACTTTAATTTTAATTTCATTACAAAAAAGCACCTTGAAAAATGAATTCTATGATTTAGGTGACATTGTTGTGAACAAAAATAAACACTTAAAATATAGTAACAATAAATTATAAAATGCTTTTATATGGATTAGATACTCCGATAGTTATGGAATAATTTATTACTAATTACAAAATTATACTTCAGTTGATAATCGGAAACTGAATAATGTCCGTAATTCCATCACCATCACCACATTGATCAAGCTCACATCAATAAAATGCCATGAAAATAGTCTTATATTGTTCACAAAGAACTCTTTTTTTTTTTTTGTTGAAAGTATGATTATTTTTTTTAAGGTTGCATTTACATTGAAATATATGTCTATACAAATTCCGTAACAATGGAAAAAAGAAAATAGATAGAATAAATAATAAAAGAAAGTGAATTTTTTTTAAAATATTAATGATATTATTAATTTAATTAATTATTTAAAAACTGAAAATATTATTAATGATATTAAAATAATAAAAGAAATGAATTTTTTTTTTTAAAAATATGTAGATGATATTATGTTAATTTATTAATTAATTATTTAAAACTGAAAATATTATTAATGATGAATTTAATTAATTCTCTATTAATTTATATTAAAATAATTTTTTAAAACTGATAAACAATTATTTCCAACTCCACATAGATTTAGATATTTTGCCACAAAGGCCATAATTTAATATTTTTAGAATTGTGTCATAATAAGCTTTTGTTGCCTTAACTTTTTATAATATTTATATAGATAGAAATGGTGTGATGGCTACCGGGTTCAAACTAGCTTCCCTACTGTTTTCCATTAATCTGTTACATTTGGGTATATGACGTTTCCTTTAAAAATAAAATCATTCATTTTTTCTAAAAGTTACAATAAATTATTAGAATGAATTGACTATAGCTATTCCTTAAAACTTAAGAGCAACAAATTATAGAAGATGAAAATTTTTTCACCTCGTTAAATCACGTATGGTGGAAATAAGTATTTGGAAGATGGCGAGAGGTATATCTTATACTTTTTGTATGAGATTTTTAATCCCAGCGGTTGAGTCTTATATTAATGATGATTTGAAATGAGCAGGATTAAAGACATAATTTGACTTCTATTAATTATATTAAAAATAATTTTTTAAAATATAAAAATTATTTCCAACTCAATAGATTAATATTTTGCCACAAAGGCATTTTAATATTTTAGAATTGTGTCATATAAGCTTTTGTGCCTTAACTTTTATATATTTATATAGATAGATGGTTGATGGCTACCGGTTCATACTCCCTATGTTTTCAATTAATTGTTACATTTTGGGTATATGACGTTCTTAAAAAAAAATCATTCATTTTTTCTAAGTTACAATAAATTATTAAATGAATTGACTATACTATTCTTAAATTAAGAGCAACAAATTATAGAAGATGAAAATTTTTTCACTCGTTAAATCCACGTATGTGATAAGTATTTGGAAATGGAGGAGTATATCTTATATGTTTTGTATGATTTTTATCCACGGTTAGTCTTAATTAAGATATTAAATAACAATTAAAGACATAATTTATATTTGACATATTGTAACATAAATTTTATTATTTTTTTGTATTTCAGTTTATTATTTAGACAAAAGAAAATAATAGAAAAAATTTTAATTGAGAAAATTATAATTAATTTTATGACATGTTTAAATAAATTTTATTTTACTTTATAAGTATAACTTATCTAGCATTAATTAAAATATATTATTTTTAATAATTTCTAATCCTATAAAAAGTCATTATATACTTTTTTTTATTAATTATAAAAAACAATAATAGAAGAAGAAAAGAGAAAGTAAAAAAGGAGGAAGTAGAAAAAAGAAAGAAAGAAATAAAGAAATAAAGAAGATGAACATTTTCATATAAAATTTTTTAATTGTATATAATTTGTAAAATTCATTTGAAATTCAATCAATTTTAATATAATTTATTTCACTATATTTAGTTCCATAAAATTGAAGTTCACGAAAATAAAAATTATAATAATTAGATTTATTTTTTAAATATTTAATTAAAAAATCAATTCTTAAAAACTAATATAATCAAACTAAATCGAATCATAGATATTTATATAAAAATATTCTTTTAAAATGCTTTTATATATTTCTTTAAAAGGTTTACTTTGATTTGATTTATTTTATAAATTATAATTCGAATTAATTTTTTTTTAAAAATTAATCAATTTTAATAGTTTAATTAATAAATTAAAAGATGAAACAGGATTAACAGAATGCTGAGCACTAATTACGACGTGTAGAGGGAGGCTATGCGTGGCATTATCTTATCTATGAGAATGAGACAAAAAAATAAAAATAAATAAACACTTACATTTGAGAAAAGACAAATTAGTAATGAGGACGTAATAGTAAATAACACAGATATGTAAAGCTGCCATGACAAAAGCATTACTGATTACTGTTTCTCTTTGACTGACACGGTCAATACTCAATATTGTAAGGCTTATCTATGAGTTGAACTTTTTTTTTTTTTTTTCTTATTTAAGTACAATCTTTTTTCCTAATGAGGTATAATTTACAAGTAATGTTCTTATTTCTAAAACAAGAAACTGGTGTAAGCCCTTCACAATTACACAAGTACTTAGATAGCTATAAAGAAACTCACTAGCAAGCAGCCATATTTGGTTTGGGAAAAAAAATATATATATTGGACCTCATTAAATAAGTTTACAAGCTGAACTTGAATATATTTATTTCGATATCATAGCATTTGAATCAATTTTTAGAGATTTAAGTAGGGTTTTATAAAAGGTTAAATCATGTAACGTTTAATTTTTAGTGTTTTATGAAAAGCTACTGAAACAATTAACAGCTACTAAAATAGCTAATTTTGTTGAAC